TATATTTCAGATTATGTTTTCAAGTTAGGAAGCAGAGCAATTGCTTGGAGTTCAAAGAAACAAAACATAGTTTTGTTATCTTCAACAGAAGCCAAATACACTGCAATAGCATATGCAGTGCATGAAGCTATTTGGCTTCAAAACCTATTCCAAGAGTTAGGTTTTAACCAAAAAGCTCCTATTACCTTACATGTATCAGGAAAAAGGGTTCAAGCCTTTTTAGCTAAAATAAGCTAAAATAAGTTGAAAAAGCTCAAATGGCAAAGTGCCTTCTTTTTGAGCTACTATAAGTCAGGCAAAGCTAGTGAAGTAGGGATTCTTTCTTATATGCAAATAAGGCTATATATGCACACTCGAAAAAATTCTGGAGACACTGCTATTCTAGCTTTTTCAGCCAAAACACAAAAAAAGCGAAAATTCAAGTTATATTTCAAGTAACTACTACACCAGATGTAAACTACTGCTACAAAAGAGGCAAAAAAGCGAAAATTAAGAGAGGTGGGAAGAAGGCTATAAGAGGGAGTCAGGCAGGAAAGACAGGAAAATAAAGAAAGACTCATCAGATAGCCAAAAATGCGAAAATTGGAGAGGATAAGCCTATAGCAGGAGCAGGAGCAAAAGACTTGGAGAAAAGGGTCAAAAAAGCGAAAATTAGAAGAACTTACCAAAGGAAGGAGGAAGAAGATATGGTCAGAAAGGAACACAAAGGATAATAAAAGATACTCACCAAAAAGAAGAACCCCAGCACCAGTACTAGTACCAACATATATACTAAGATCAACACCAACCTCTAATTGAAGAGCAAGAGAATAAGTATTGTTAAAGAAGACTGTTTAAGGGAAGATGGTGGGAGAAGGAAAAGAAGGAAAAAGACTTATGGTTGACACATTTTTGCTTACCAAACAATACCAAACATATTTCCCCATTTAGGTATTTCTACTTGTCTAGCTTTTAGTTATCCCTGTTTCCATCTTGCTTATTGATCCTTGTATAAGTTTCATCTCTGAGTTCATTTCTATCTTACTTACTAATACATTTCCACATGCTTGTATATAGCCTTACCCCTCTGCTTACTGATCTGCTCATACTTGACTCCAGTATATAAACTCCTGTAGAAACTTCTATACTTTCTTAGTCTGAATATCATATTAGTTCTCATACTAATTCTTATTCCTTCCTTATCAATATTCACCTCAGGCCTAGGGAGAAATTCCCTAGGCTGGAGTTCTACTCCTCTGCTCTTCCAGTTCTAATCTGCTTTAGACTTTGTCTCTACAACCTTCCCTCTATTTGCTTCTACTCAGGATTCGTCCTAAATAGCTTTTACACTTATTCCTGCTAAGTGAATGAAACTCATTCAGAATTTCTGGGTTTCCTTCAGAAGTTTCCTATGCTCCTCTGGAAGTCCTCCAGACTTGATCTGAAATTAGGAGCATGTACTCAGGTAAGGAGCACAGCACATGTGCTGAAGCCAAGCTCCTCAGAATCAGTCCTACCCTTTGTGCATAGTCTTAACATACAAATCATGAAAAGTCAGAACAAGTCAAAAAGGAAGGACCACATGCATGATTGAGTCATAGCATGTATACATTGATACAAAATCTGCCAGAGTGTCAAAAAGGAAATGGATATGAGGGGTAAGAGTAGGCCTAAGGATCTAGTCAACAGATAGTCAGTAGAGGAGGCTGAGATGACATATAACAAATAATATTACTTGTAACAATGGGCCCAGCCATATATTACATTTATAATATTACATCCACAATTTATCTATTAGCCCATAGGTATACTACTTAACTAGTATGGACTTAGTCATATGTTATGGCTACAATTGCCTATGGGCCCATCTGAGATGGCCTATATTATATGGACATTAGACTGGCTGTAAGATATAGACTATTTCTGTCATATCCCGTGTTCTGGACCCAGACCAATCACGCAATCATCTCCGGACTTCCAGATCCGGTCAGCTCCTATCTTCCGTGCCTTTTCCCTTTAGTATTTCCCTTATCGGTTAGTATGCTTTATTTTCTGTCCCTTATTCATTTCCGTCTTCATTTTACTAAGTTCCAATAGACTAGTGATAGTCGTCCCACATGCTCTGTCCATAGCCTCGCACTGCACTGGCTGTTTCTCTGTTATGTCCTCAGTAGTATATAAACCCTATACAATCCTTGTAGTTCCTCAGTTCGAATATTATCTTAGACTCTGCTCATGCCCTCCTCCATCCGACTTGAAGTCTCTTCTCGTCATCTCTGATAGTCTTAGGATCGACTCCTATAGACTCACCACCTCCGCCTCTACCTTAGGTAGTCCTCTGCTGTTTCCTTCTAGTTTGGACATCGTCTGGATTAGTCTTATCACTTGTTCCCGAACATCCGCTGGAATTCCTGCGCATCGGACTCCGGACTCCGGACGTCGTCCTTTAGCCCTCGGAAGTTAGGGGCACATACTCAGGTAAGGGGTGCAGCACACAAGCTGAAGCCAAGCCCTTCGGATCCGAACCATTGAGCATGTTCTTAACAGTATATTCAAACTCACACCTTACTGAGTATACTTACAACTAAATTCATGGCACCTACAACCACTCAGACCAACCTCTGCATGGTGGGCTTAGTAACCGCCCGACATAACTCTACTCTCATAGTCGATGCATTCACTAGCTTCTCACAGTGTTGCACTAGTGCGCAGGGCTTCCAAACTCTCTAGTACCATCTGTTTCCATTTCCACTTTTCCCAATATCTCTCCTTTTCCGGCTCTTGTAGATTGTGGCTCATCTCATTGTTTTATAGAAAGCAAATTAATCCGAGAAAATAACATTCCCACCTATGCAATCTCTCTGCTTCCGCTCCATCTGTTTGATGGTACTTCTAATGCCACTATTACCGAGGCAGTAGATTTACCGATCCGTTTTCCGACCGGCGTGGTTACCTCCGAAACATTCTATGTTACTCCATTGGACTCATCCTATTCCATCATTCTAGGATATAGCTGGCTCACCTGACACAATCCATTGATTGACTGGGTAAAGGGCAGCATCAATTTCTGTCCGATTCCTCATGGAGTGCCTCCGACCCCTCCGACCCTACTTCTGCTGCTTCCGGCAAAAATCCCTTCCCCAACTCCACCAAGTCCCTCCGCTGATAACGCTGTTCCCAATATTTCCCTGATCAATGCAGTTGCCTTTTGCCGGGCCTGCAAGTTAGAGGGATCGGTCCAGTTCAGTATTTTTATCCGACCCACCAGTGTCAATCTCCACTCCGCTACACTCTCCTCTGAGCCTCCGAACCTATCTGGAATCCCTTCGGAATATCACGAGTATGTGGATGTCTTTGATAAGGGCAAAGCCGGACAGCTCCCTCCCCATCGTCCCTATGATCTTAAGATCAATTTGGAAGAAGGAGCGGCTCCACCCCTTGGCACCATCTATTCCCTTTCTCTGGTCGAGCTTGCAGCTCTTCGCAAATTCCTTGATGAGAATATTGCGACCAGACTTCTCCATTCCTCATCCTCTCCACACGGAGCCCCTGTCCTGTTTGTCAAGAAGAAGGATGGCTCCCTATGTCTCTGTGTAGATTTCTGAGGACTCAATAAAATCACAAAGAAAGACCGCTACCCTCTTCCCCTCATTTCCGACCTTCTTGATTCTCTGAGCCGTGCAAAAGTTTACACTAAAATCGACCTCCGGTTTGCTTACCATCTAGTCCGGATAGCGGAAGGAGACAAGTGGAAAACTGCTTTCCAAATGCGCTATGGCTCATATGAATGGTTGGTTATGCCCGAGGGTCTCACCAATGCTCCAGCAGCTTTCCAGCATTTTGTCAATACCATCTTCGCCAATATGCTTGACATATGCGTTATTGTGTACCTCGACGACATCCTCATTTATTCTGCAGACCTTGCATCTCACAAACAACATGTCCTTGAAGTCCTCCGACGCCTCCAGAAGCATCATCTATATGCTAAACCGGAGAAGTGCAAATTCCATTCCGACTCCGTAGAATACCTCGGCTACCTCCTATCTCCGGGTTTGGAATCAACGACCACCCTAGTGGTAGACTCAATATGTGCCGGCTCTTTGTCATCGCCAGATGAAGAGCCTGATGGCGAGTCAGCGGTGTCTTGAGCATCAGCTTCTCCTTGAGGCTCTAGAAATGCACATCAGTTGTACATTTTGAGAAAACAAAAATATTAAGGAACTTACCAGTGATGTCGGAGAGGAGAGCAGTAGCTAAAACTGTGCGATCATTGGTAGTGAGATTCAGTACCAACAACAATCTGACGACAGCATCTGAGAGATAAATGAATGAGAGTCGTGCATCGTTTATAATGTGGATAGTGCTCACCCAATGCCAGACTAGTGTCTTCGGTTGCAGCAATAGTACAGGTCATCGTGGATATAAATGTGAGAACTGATGTATGAGTGACGTATGAGACGAACAGGCAAACACAAACTCACCTTTTATGCTGTCGAGGCAGACTTTGTTGGCCACATTGAGGACAACTGGAGGATCAAATTTCGAAAGCATCGAAAATCCTTGTTGAGGATTGTATGTCCCGTCATGTGCTCGAAGCGTGTATAGAGGCAAAGCGTGTATTAGAGGATCAAATTTCGAACATCGAGAATCTTTGTTGATGATTGTATATCCTGTCACGTGCTTGAAATGTGCAATGAACATTCACCTTTTCCGACCGACTTGGCACTTTATGCTTACAATCAGGATTATTTACTTCTACTTTCAGACTGAGTCTGGCAACGGTACAATGGTCAGCAATATTGGCTTTGATCTGCCATGTCACACGGTATGTGGTTCTTAGACTACCTTATTCCAAGTAGACCATTGTGTGGAAACCACGGGATTCTTACTGTCTGTAGCCTCTCAGTTTGCGTAATCGAATTCAAGTAACACTGATCTTCTTTGCCCATTGCCTATGTGTTGCGCGGAGTGAAGAACATGTATCTAAAACCATACAACATTTATTCAACAACGGGCCTGTTATGGTGGGCCGACCAAGCAAGAAAGCCAGGTTCTCACGCTATGTGGATGTCAGTGAGGCTCATCCTGCACCTGCTTATGAGCGTTTCCATTCCTATGGCATACAGCATGATGGGGAGATGTCTGTTGACACTACATATGTACTTTCTCAACCCGCCGATGAAGCACCAGCTCACTCCTCATCTCCTATCTTACCAACTGTCGATGATTGGAACGAACCTGATTATCAAGAGCCCGACTCAGAGTTTGACACACTACAGGAATCTGCACAGATACCAAAGAAGAAAAGGACTGCTGCAGTATGTGTGTCACGCTTAGGATGATCAGGCGCTTACTCAAAATTTTAAAGGAAAATCCTTTGTTGCAATGGCTGCCCAAACACTCCCATTTCTTAGATGAGATAATCTGTCTTGAAGGATGTGGTCATGAGGGGACACTTCTGAATTGCCGTTGTGGAACCGAGGACACCATACATCTTTACCATTGTAGAGATTGTTTTGGGGTCGAAATGGTCTGCCAGATGTGTGTTGTTGACCGTCACTTAAGCAATCCACTTCACCACATAGATGTATGTATTCTTTGTTGTTATGTTCCTTATTTCTTTATTGCAATTTCACCAGATGTGGAATGGCAGCTTCTTGGAGAGTATTATGTTAAAGGCTCTTGGACTGCACGTGCAGCTCGGACATACCCCTGGCGAGCACTGTTACAATGCTCAGCCAGTATCTTGTGACGAATTCACAGTAATTGATGCACACGGCATCCACGATGTCGCAGTCGACTTCTGCGGATGCGAAACTGCACAGATCCACTACAAGCAACTTCTACGAGCTCGGTGGTTTCCAGCTACTACAACTGACCCACGGACAGCGGCAACCTTCAGCATCTTGGAATTATTTCATTTACTCTCCTTCAAATCGAAAGTATCCACATACGAATTCTACCACAGTTTAGCAAGACGCTCAGACAACATGGGAATCTCGCCAATTAAGGTACAGTGACATGTGAAGTTCCCTCCCTTAACTCTGATTGATTTCACCTTTCAGGATCGTTACTCAGTGTTCATGCGAATGATGCGAGAATGGCATCATGTCTTGCAACTTATGCATGCTGGTCGTGGCCATGATCCCAATGGTATTGAAGCCACACAAGATGGCAGGTGTGTTGTACCATGTCCGGCATGTCTGCATCCAGGAATGAATATTCCTGATGGATGGGAGGATTTGCCATCCAACATTAGGTAAGTAGCATCCTGCATGTGCTTGCTATGGTACTAATTCAAACAGGTGGCACTATGTGTTATTCCTCGCGATCGATGTGAACTTCCAGCTCAAGTGCAAGGCTATCTCTAGTGATTATCGTGACCCGAGTCTCAATTCAGGATGGGCTTATTTTGTGAAAGAACATGCTTACAAGCAGTTCTTGTCTGAACGAAGTACAGAACAGCAAGAGGTATGTATTCTGGGTGTTTGTCCTGGTTTGTGACATGAACTGAATTTGGGATGGCACAGAGAAGCACCTGCGTGAGTCACAACGTGGTGAATGCAGCAGACACCAAGGTATCCCGAGGTCTTGCAGCCACAGGAGTTGGGTCTGTTGTCTGCGCACATCATGAGATGAGGCTTTCCAATAGTGTGGGCAACTTGCAGAAGGGAGAAAAGTAGGAGATTGTATATATTCTCTCTGAGGCTGCGCGATACTAACTACTAGACAGATATATAAACATGGATTACCTTGTCTTTTCAGTCCTGGTCAGCTTCGGCCTGGCTGTGTTTAATTTTCCTACGACATCACTTGTCAGTGGCATAAGAAGCTCTGGTCTCGCAATAGCACAATGCCCCAGCGCCTGTGTTATGACTAGGATAGGTCTTCTCAACACCAGCATGAATGTGCTATCACGTGTAGCATGTCAAGGATGTCTTACAAGTCGGTCGAAGGCTGACAGGTCTCTCTGTCTATCTCAGTAAGGGTTAAGGGCCTCATCAAGAGTGAAGGGCTAACGAGAATACAGCTAAGGCACGAGGAGCAACTTAGAAGTGCAGTCAAAGGTTCAAAGAAGTGAGTGGATTAGACAAGCTAGTTCTAATGGAACCTAGTTCTGGGTATGACCTAGTAGATCAAAGTGAAGAAATACTACAATGATCTGTCTACTTATATATGTCTGTACATAAGGGTTCAAGCTCAGTTCATATCTGGGATCTATGTGAGTTATAGTGAGTCAAAGATAAGTAAGACATGACTCAGTCAGGGAGTCATAGATAAGATACATGAGGCTTTAACCTCTGATCAGGCATGTTGCAACTAGTACGAGGGAGATGGGGCCTGGCAACCGTCGTGACACACTCGATGATCACTTCAGTGATTGGAACTGGAAGAAAACAACGATGCTGGGTACATTGATTTGTTATTATTTAGCGTGTTTCATTAACGTGTTTTCATAGGGCAGACTTTACTGCGCAAACTCAACGAGGCTACTGTGGCTGCTCAAGCCCATCAAGACAAACTTACAGAACTTGAAGGGGCAATCAACACATCAACAATAGTGTTATGGCAGGCTGATGTAGAGGTGTGGGAGGAAGACAGTACCAAACCAAATCCCTTTGAAAGCTGAGTCGTTCATGTGTCAGTTTTTTTTTGGTTTTCCATCTCTTAATATTGATGAACGGTCTATCTAGCAATGACTCAAGCCATGGTTCGCTTGGAATTTGCAGAACACAAAAGATGCGACTTGCAAGATGGGATCAACTCATCCCTTCATGCTGAGATCTCACCCAGCGTGCTCATAGCAAATGGCCTCGAACTTGAGGACCAGCAGTATGTCTTAGGAACTTGTACATTTTTTTGCATTGCTAAATGATTGATTACAGGCGGCGTCTACGTGCAGACAGGAAAGCATCGAGCCAAAATCCTACCGACAACCAGAAGGCCAAAATTCAAATGCGTTCAAATGCACTCCACCGCAAACTTGATGCCTGGGTTCAAGTTCAAATATTGTATATGTCTGCAGTTGCCTCGCTTCATATTCGTGCCCAGCATGACGACAGCCCCCAGGACAAATTGCCTGAGGACTTTATTCTACTCCTTCCATCGCAGCTCAATCCCACAACTCCTTGTGCTCTGTTACTGTGTCAAATTGAGTGGAAGCTTAGATATGCACAGGCTGATGATGCTCTTAATGATGTTCATCAGAATATCCACCTGCATGCCCATCTCAATACCTTCAAGACTTTGCATATTCATGGCCAGTGAGCCAGTACCCATGCATGCAGTGCTCTTGACCTTGCGGGGGCGAAAAAACTTGATAGCTGGTGTAGGACTTGGAGTCCTTGTAGCCTTGTAGAGGCTATTGTTGTGGTATCCCTCAGCACCCTACTACTTTCCTACATGAAGCGCAGCTCTCCCGCGAGTCGCGCATAGTGGCCGCTACTTTCCCGCGACGGCCGCAATGTTCCCGCGCGCACGCACAGCCGCGCTTAGCGGCCGCTTTTCTCGCGCTTCATCAGCCGATGTTCCACACCCATCCATAGTCCAAAACCAACCCAATGGTACATTGTTTCATAATTATCTTTACATATCAGACCATTTTCGCATCGGACCACCTTTATTACATATAGCTTTACATACATAGCTCAGTAGCACATCGGCTTGGTAGCATGTCGGCTTGGTAGTGTGTCGGCTCAGTTCCGTGTGACAGTGCTTAGCGCAATACTTAAGCACTAGCAGTACATATCATTCAGTAGCTTGTTTTCCAGACATTCCAGTAGCAACTCCCATTAGCCTACAGTTGGTAGCTATTGGCAATCAGTATCCATTTACCACTTGCATCGTATCCGTTATTGCCTCGCTCTACATCTATTCCTATTGTCCTTCATCTCTATTATCATCTGAACCCCTCATGCATTGGCTGCTTCGCAGCCACATCTTTCCTGTGCCTTCCGCTTTCAGCCGACCGCTACATTCCCATGCTTACGCGCGCACACCCGCCGCTTTCCCACGCTTCGCATCGGCCGACAAGCGGCACCTTCTGCATCCATTTCTAGACCTTTGCTGCACTAGCTTCCCCTTTAGGGTCGAATGCACTTGTTCCACAAGTATAGCAGATAGGCAGTGCACGACCTACAACATAAAGATATCAGTTTGGAGCCTATAGCACCACTCTGAGTTGTAAACCTACACCGGCTCAAGTATGAAGCTGCTCGTGTGGCGCTCAATAACCTTGGGGACCGACTAGGTATGGTAGGGTGGAGAGATGTGTTTTGGCCATTGTTACAACACACGGTCGTGTGCGACTTGGATGATCTAAACAGCGACAACCACGACAGTGGTACCGAGTGCTGAGAGTCATCGGCCTTTACAGACAAGCAAAGGTTGCGTACTCGAACGTAGCTCGTGGTGGTTAACGAGGGGTTACGCTGAGATGATAGCAGGTTACAGACAGTGAGAGGCGTCACTGAAGGTACGAGTTGATGTTGAGCAGGTAGCTTTAGCGGGACAAGGAGTTCAAGGAATAACCAAGTAAGATTAAAGTAAGGAATGTCTACTTTAATCTTCGACCTTATATAAGGCTACTCTTTGTATCTAAGCTCAGCCTAAAGCTGGGTTCTAATCTGCTTATCTACATGAGTCAGAGATAGCGTCCATGAGGCGGGCTTCTATCGTAGATAGGATCCATGAGGTATCCTTCTATCAGTACATGAGGTAACACGAGGCTTGCCTTCTATCTTGATAACATAAATAGGTCTTCTAGACCTATGTCGTCATCTGTCGTCATATGCGGTCCAGACCGCTTATCTAAGCCGGCAGTTGCCGCTTATCATCTGTCATCATCTATCGTCATCTATCGTCATAGGGCTGGTGAGACCCTGGTATCGTCTATAACCGTGCAGTGGCAGAGGGCTGTCTGCTGGCAGGGGACTCATGTAATGTTACTGTAACAGCCATTAAATGTCTCGGATATGAGACCTATGGGTGATGTAGGGTCTGCAGGGCAATCAGAGGGGAGACACAACATACCATGGATATGGAAGGCACCTGGTGTCTTGCACAACAATGATGCGGGTCTTCAAGATTGTAAGTTGCTTGTTCCATTATCATTGGAGTTGTTCTAATCATCACGCTGTCAGGTTTATGGGTCGAATGGTGTAAGGCCAGAGCGCGAGCATCCCGGTGGTCGGAAGAGTGTTCTTTGCTGATAGAAGAGATGCAAAGAGTGCTGGTGTTTTTCCTGCTGGGAAATAGCTCAATGGAAGGAACGAGGTACTGTGAGGTTGTTTATCAAGGATGCTGACTGTGAAGTGAGTCTTGCTTATGCACAGTGCCAGATGGCTGTTCGGGAGGGTCTGTTTGCCCATTTCTCAATAATTTGGAAGAACACCCTCTCCGCTGTTGTCTCCGAGCTTGATCCGGTCCCCACGATCAATGCTGAAGTGACTGATGATCAAACACCATCATTGGAAGGTCCTCCTTTGCAGGCTGATGATGAGTAGTATGATAATATTTTGTTACTGATGAGTCATCAACTGATAGTTCTGATGTATGATGTCTTCGAAGAAGTCAGTGAGTGCCTGTGTGATGTATTACTGAAAGTACTGATGTATGACTTGAAGCACTAGGGGGCACAAGGTCTTAATGTATGATTCAAAGTACTGATGTATGACTTGAAGCACTAAGGGGCACGAGGTCTTGATTAGGCAACTGCATGGGTGGTGGGTGTGGGTGTCCCGAGGGTGTGGGTGGGGGTCCATGTTTCAGGCACCCGCACCCTCACCCATACCCTCGGCTTGGGTTGACATGTCAAAATCACTATATTTCACTACCTAAACAGGAACTCAGCTACTCGTACTGTACAGTTGTTAAAAAAATCAATAGCAAGCATATCAGTATCACTATCCTCTAGACCCGAGTCATAGACATCATGCAGCCAAACATATTCGCAAAAACGGTAAAACGAGTCACCAAACTCATGGACAAGGCAAAGGCAGCCCTGGAAGAGAAGCTTGATGGCCCCTCGACTAAGGAAAGGAAGAACGACACAAATGGGGAAAATGCGGCACCAAGCCAGTCCAAGAAGGCTAAAAGTATCCCAAACCACAGTCGCACCAAGGATGACGTCCAATCAGACAACGTCACAGCTACTCCGAGTCCCATGGCTACACCAGTACAGGGACATCGAGCAGTGGTTCATACTGAAGAGGAAGAGGCTGATCTGCATAATGATGTGATCATGCTTGATGATGATGAGAGTGACCACAATGCCAATGAGACTCGCAATCCAAGTCCGGACATTGAAACTGCTGAAGATGAGCTCAGTACGCAATGCGATCTTCAATTAAAACAATTTGTTAATCAGATGATAGCTCAACTAATGAAGGAGTGGATCTCACCTGTATACGCATTCTTCGAGCCCAAACCCCATATCATTGAGCACAATGGACATCACGCTGTAGCACTCAAGCTTGCGGTAGGCTCGTATTCAGCTATTTTCCCATGCATGTCAAACACATGAATCACTTCCAATGTTATCCGACACTCATCCACTCAATCCGATGTTTATCCACTAAACCTGACGCTAACCCACTAAACCCAACGCTAATCCGACAGACCCAATGTTTCCCGCGCATCGGACCCGATACTTTCCCGTGCACTTGTCCTCCCTATGTCTTGTCCTGTCATATCTATCCCCACTAGGTGCGCAGTTATTCATTTTCATGTCACTAACATTGTAGAACACGTTATTACATGTCCGCAGTACATCGTGTCTTATTACATAGGACATCGGACCCGAAAATCAGCGCTACTACATTCGCCTATAGCACTCCGAATTTCTACATAGACACTATATATTTCGCATACCTCCTACCTATTTACTTACCTTTCTACCTCCAAGTAGGAGGAGGTCATCCGATATTCGTAGTTCTTAGTTGGATTCCGCAATATCATCCTTGCTTTATCCGAAACATCTGACAGTAACCCGCCATTCGCTATCCCCGACATTCGCTATATTCCCGACACAAACCCGACGCTAACCCAACACAACCTGAGGCAAACCTGCTAACCCGAAACCCGAAAACATCGGACCTGACATTTTTGACATTGGACTCGTAATTATACCTTCGGACTTCATTTCCCGCGCTTCGGACTATCTTCCTTTTGTTATAACTGATTATTCTAATACCATACAGCAAACCCCTCGGGTCGAATGCACTTGTCTTGCAAGTATAGCAGACTAGGCTGTGCACGACCACAACATGATTATATTGCTAGCTACTTACTTCATGTAGTGTCCAGCAATTGTTGTATCTCTACAGTGCACATCAGTTCAAGTGCTGTGCTCGAGGATGCAAAACTACAATTCGACGATTCCTTGACAAAAAGGATGCGAGGTCTACTGGTAACATGCGAAAGCACGTCAAATCGTGCTGGGGTGATGAGGTTCTGCAATCTGCAGACCAAGCCAAAGATGCCCAGGAGGTTCGGACTAAGATAGTTGGTAGCATCCTATGGAATGGGTCAATCACAACATCATTCGAGCGAAAAGGCAAGGGGAAAGTGACGTACTCACATCGCCAACATACATGGACTGAGACAAAGTACGCCGCCATCCTTCCTAATTGTATTGAGAGCTGAAATAGCCACAATAAGGGCTGAAATTGTTCGTTGGGTTGCCGAAAGTCTACGACCGTTTGAAATCATCAAGGACAAGGGATTTCAGTCTCTTATGAAGACCAGAAGACCTGAATATTACTTACCTTTGCCTGCTACAGTGTCGCATGACGTTTGGTTGGTCTTTGCCAGGACAAGAGAGCGCATAGCTAAAATCACAAAGGCACAGTCATCATTTAAACATAGCGCAGCATGAATCTAATATACTCACCGGCAGGAACATGAAGGTAAAGTAAACTTTACAACAGATGGATGGACTTCAACAAACCATCGAGCTTTGGTCACTGTATCTGTGCACCTCAAACTTAAAGGAGTGCCGCTGAGTCTGCTGTTAGATATTGTTGAGATACCAAAAGTAAGGATGACTTACTTTTGCCTGACTTGATTGATATTGAGCATGTTAGTCGCATACCAGCAAGGAATTAGTGGGAATGTTTGAACAGATACTAGATGATTTTGGAATCATAGAAAAAGTTAGTCCAATCAACACAATGTATTCAATGAGACTTACTGCAATGAAGATCCTGGCTGTTACATGTGACAACGCATTGAATAACACAGTAATGATCGACGAACTCAGTACCGCACTCCCCGACTTCGGCAGAAAAGCATCGCACACACGGTGCTTTTTGCACACAGTAAATCTTGTAGCAAAGTCCTTGCTCCATGAATTCGAGGCATCCACAAACGACGAGGACACAGAAGAGTCGATAGCTGGTGACGAAGATGACGTGGATGGCTTGGATGGCTTGGTCGATGAAGTTTCTTTGCTGACAGATATCGATATTGAGCAGGAAAACCTTAAGAATAGTGTGCATCCTGTCAAGTTAGTACTCACAAAGGTGGGAGTTCGGATCATGAAACATACCTTGAAAATTGACATAGTACCTAGCTTCACAAACTTGGATTCAAGATCATACATTCAACTATGAAACTCCTCCCAGCCTGGCATGGAATTCTTGAAGCTTTGAAGATGAAGGTTACGACACTCCCACAGGATGTTTCCACACACTGGAACTCGACATTTGACATGGTCGAGTATGCACTGAGGCATCAAGAGGCGATTGATGCTGTGAACCAGCGACGAGACCTGGGCTTGCAACAACTTGAGTTAACAGACCAGGAATGGGTAATTGCGGAGCAATTACAGGACATCTTGAAGGTGTGTGCGCATATGTAACCATATGTAACACTGTGTGTTACTTAATTAGTAACACTTAACGCTTTGCTCTAGATCCTCAAGGATGCAATGATGTTCTTCTCGCGTTCAACTCCAAACTTGGTGACTGTTATCCCAGCAATGGACCTAATCGATGAGAAACTGACCACTTACTCCCTGAATGCTTCATTCCTTCCATCGATTCGTGTAGCTGTAGGACTCGCCAAAAAGACATTGAATCGTCATTACCAACTGACAGATACATCGGAAGTGTACCGTATTGCCATGGGTAAGTTTGTTTCTTAATCTATGTCATTTGTCTGACCTCTTACTTTTAGTTCTACACCCACGTCACAAACTCACATATTTCAGACGTGTGAAGTGGGAAGACACTTGGATTGAAACTGCTGAGACGCTTGTAAGGGAGACATTTGAGCGCTCATACTCCGACTCGATGTTGGCAGCCTCACACACAGACTCTGAGGCAGACAATGGTATAGCAGCAGAAGTTTCTTTGGTGAGTTTTATTGTCCATTTTGATGCACTCACTGAGTCGCAAACTAACTACATCCACAGGGCAACATCTTCGACAATATCCCTGTGCTTGCACCCCCGACAAGTCACTCTGAAAACAAACTTGACAGGTACCTGGGCACTGACATTGAGCATGTTGAGGACCCCCTTGCTTGGTGGTATGAACATCATATCGTTTATCTGTGCCTTTCTCGCATGGCGTTAGATTATCTTAGTATACCTGGTATGTTTTGTTTTTTCATTTATTTAGTATTAAGGAGCTAGCTATTTGACTGTGGTAGCTACTTCCATGGATGTTGAACGTCTTTTTAGTCGCGGGCGTCTCCTCCTTTCACATGTTCGCTCTTGATTATCAGCTCAGTCAACCTGCGCACTCCTGTGCCTCAGATATTGGAGCAAGCTCAATCTAGTGAAGACAGGGAACGTCATGTCTGTTGCAGCACTTGCAGATGTTGAAGGTGAGGAGGAGCAGGAACTCGAGATTGGGTGGGATGCCATTAAATTAGAGTAGCTACATTTTGTACATGAACTGTTTGAATTTGCAGCAACCCGTGGGTATACCCTTCGTGGGTTACTGTGCAGGTCATTTACCCGTCCACCCACGCAAAAACCCAGACCTGCTTTGAGGGTATGGGTATTCCTCTGGGTGTGGGTGCGGGTAGTAGCGCTGACACCTGAGGGTTTACCCGTGCAGTTGCCTAGTCTTGATGTATGACTCAAAGTACTGATGTATGACTCTCAGAAGCACTAGGGGGCACAAGGTCTTGATGTATGACTCAAAGCACTAGGGGGCACAAGGTCTTAGTAATGTATGACTTAAAGTACTAATGTATGACTCGAAGCACTAGGGGGCACAAGGTCTTAGTAATGTATGACTTAAAGTACTAATGTATGACTCGAAGCACTAGGGGGCACAAGGTCTTAGTAATGTATGACTTAAAGTACTGATGTATGACTCGAAGCACTAGGGGGCACAAGGTCTTAGTAATGTATGACTTAAAGTACTGATGTATGACTCAAAGCACTACTAGGGGGCAGAAGGCCTTGTCATGACAATGTTTCATGTATGAGACTTTTTGTTGTGCTACAGTATGTAATATATGAGTATTACAAGAACAGGTGGCAGCCTGAGGCCAGGAAGCCAAAGGAGGGCGTAGCCCTCCTTGGCTTCCTGTAACGAAGGAACAACACTCATTTTCCTCCCCTGAAGGAGCGCTACGCGCTCCTTCGATTTGTGCCGAAGGCACAACGGGCGTGAGCTCGTTGTACAAGGTCCTGTGCAAAGGACCGTGGGATCATTGTACTCATTTTGGTCACGAGGGTTCAACGTAACTTTGAGTTCCCCTAAATGACACTATGTAGTGTTGATCACACTCCCGCTGAGCTACTAGTTTCTGTTTTAGCGTGCATCTACGTTAGCACAATAACGACTAAAAAGGGGCGCGAGCCGACTCTAGCTATATGTGGTTCCCAGAAAATGCTCTTTCGTCACTTCGTCTTTTTCTTTTTGACCACCTCTCATGTCGGCCGTCCCTCCAGTTTGCTCGACACCTCCGTCGGTGGAGACTCTCACTCCCCCTATGACTCCGAAGCTTAATGACTCACAGCCCTCAAAGAAGTTCATTGAGGATCCCGAGCACGTCCCTGCGGACGCTAACATTCCCGATAACTACGTGTCGTACACTCTCAAGCACCAAAAGTCTCTTCTTCCAATCACTTGGGACAACTGGTACACAGAGTTAAACTGGTTAAACGTTGCGATTCTCGCTGGCACGCCTGTTATAGGTCTCGTTGGTGCATACTACACTCACCTTCGGTGGGAGACCGCTGTTTGGTCAGTGATATACTACTATATGACTGGTCTCGGTAAGCTTTGGCATTTACCTTTGAAAGCCTTGTCTTATCATATTTTCAGGCATCACTGCTGGTTACCATCGGCTATGGTCACACCGTTCTTACAACGCATCGAAGCCCCTTCAGTATGTTCTTGCATTCGTCGGCGCAGGCGCGGTTGAAGGCTCTATTAAATGGTGGTCACGAGGACACCGTGCTCACCATCGTTACACCGATACCGACCTTGACCCGTACAACGCACACCGCGGTCTTCTATGGTCACACATCGGATGGATGGTTGTCAAGCCCCGTCGCAAGCCTGGCGTTGCTGATGTTAGCGACTTGACAAAGAACGAGATCGTGAGGTGGCAGCACAAATACTACCTGAGCCTTGTCGTGATCATGGGCTTCCTCTTCCCCACTGTTGTGGCTGGCCTTGGTTGGGGCGATTGGCAAGGTGGCTACGTATACGCCGGTCTTCTGCGTCTTTGCTTTCTTCACCATGTATGTTTGTTGTTGCCTTTTTATTCCGATACACCGTTGACCTCGCGCATATAGTCCACATTCTGCGTGAATTCGCTCGCTCATTGGTTGGGTGAAACGCCATTCGACGACAAACACAGCCCTCGCGATCACTTCGTAACTGCCCTCGTCACAATTGGTGAAGGATACCACAACTTCCACCACCAGTTCCCCATGGACTACCGTAACGCCATCAAGTGGTACCAATACGACCCTACAAAGTGGTTCATTTGGTCGTGCCAGAAGCTTGGCTTCGCAAGCCATTTGAAGGTGTGTCTGTTGCAGATACGTTAGGATACTTGATTCATCCAGATCCATTAGTCCTTCCCTGACAATGAGGTCCGCAAAGGTCAGCTTACCATGCAACTGAAGCGTCTTCGCGAGACCCAGGAAACCCTGTCATGGCCTTCTGATAACAGTGACTTACCTGTCATTTCCTGGGAGAGCTGTACGTACCTTTCCGCATATGCCAGATGTATTTTCTAATATATTCCGCGTAGACCTTGAATAAGCCAAGAGTCGTCCGGTCATCTGCATCGCTGGCTTCATTCACGATGTTTCAGACTTCCTTGACGATCACCCAGGAGGCCGTCACTTGTTGACGAAGCCCATCGGCCGAGATGCTACTACAGCATTCTTTGGAGGTGTTTATGACCATAGTAACGCCGCACATAATGTGAGGCATATTTTAGTTGTCGCGCGATCATATCTTGACTAATACCTTCTGCAGCTCCTTGCAATGAAACGTGTCGGCGTTCTTCACGGCGGAACTCCACATGGCCTTGACGATAAGGTCATCCCTCCAAGCCAGCGTCTTCGCATTGCACGATACAACGAGATCGGTGACAGCGGTTACAGCTCAGCAGCCCTCTCTGACGGTGAGGGTCTCCTCGGGTAAAATGGTAATACCCTTCCCGGCCCTAGATGCACGTCCATTCAGGATAGACTTTTATTATATTCGACACTCCCGCACCCATTGACTCTGCATATATTCTCTCGCTCGCAATACCGGCTGTGCCATAGAAAGCATGTTGACCCTCTTCTCCCAATTTTTCTTCATACGATACACACGGCCCATTCTACGCTCTGTCATGTTTACGATGGTAATACGAAAGGGGAATGTACAGTACTTTGGTGTTATTATATGTAGATAGTTGATGGCATGATTACATAATTGATTTGAGGCGTATTGCTGAGTAAGCTACACCGCCTTGTTTGAATCCCACTTTGCCATCATTTCCTCACCTGCACGATTGAAACCACGCAATAAGCCGATACACGCATAGACGCAAGAATTATTGATAGGGGCGCCCTATGCTACAATCCTAGCGTCTATGTGTGTCAGACTCACCAAACAGAAGCATGATCTTTTCAAGTTACTGTTTCTGACGCAGTCACATAGGCTACGAACAGTCCGACTGCATTGAGAGAGAATTGGTTTTGACCTAGTCTCCTCGACTTTGATGTCCATGGATCCGAAGCATAAGGCCTACGGAGAACGAGTCGTGCTGAATGCGGTAGCCTATATATACAAACAACGCAAAAGACTGGTGACTCTCCATTGGAGTCAACTCTGAGTATCACGCGGAGAAAAAGGCAATACTAGTGTGCGTTCCATGTTAGACTCGGCCCAAAAGCATGCATTTGAAGTTTGATAATTTTCGAGTCAGCTGAGCCTGCACTGCGTCAAAGCTGGCCAAACATCAAGCTGTCGTCGATCGTGCAAATCGATGAAAAGCGTACTATCATGATTAGCATGCTGGCACGATACGATATTACACATTTTTTTGGCAATTATTAGCCGCAGTTCGTACTCGAGTCTGGACGTCGCCAGAACTGCAATCTACGGCGGACTGCTGGAAGGTGGCCTGAAGAGATAGTGAGCCAGGCTGTTTTTTTTACGGGAGCAGGCTGGAACTGACCAAACACTATCGACGGTCCCCATCCCACCAGTACTAACGCTACATGTTGCGTCCCAAAAGGCGATGGATATTGGCGATGGCTCGCTACATCGATGATAGTCGAAAGCGCGGCCAGAAATTGGGTAATAAAGAACGCCCTGAGGGTTCACGTCAGTACCTCTCCAAAAATACGGCCTATTCTTTGATGCACGTACATTTGGAAAAGAATGAGCCTCCATATCGCAGGTGCAAGACTCTGTCTGGGCTGTTCGTAACCATGACGGGCTCGAAGGCAAGGTATGTAAATACGTACACCAGGGTACCAGGCGAAGTAACGACTCACTTGATATCGGAAGCGTCATTGTACATTCTTCAACGGGCACGGCAATGCACGCTCGCTGGTCGCGTATCTGAGATTCGTCCCATTGCGATGTTTCCGACAAGCGCTTTGGCGAAGTCCGAGTCGATGTGGATAAGGAAGAGGGAGAAAATTCAGCCCGCGGGGGATAAACCTCATTTGACATAGCCGCGGCATTATCCATCTCATCAACACGAGGCATCATATCTCTCCTTGGCAAGTGGTCGTCCATCAAATGGTTTCTATTCCTGAAGTCCGCGGACTTGAGACTCACATCCGAGTCGGGTATAGCCGGCAAAGGCCCATTTTTTTGCTCGGAAGGTTCAGTGATATTGACCTCCCTAATTTCAGCTGCTGACAGATAATGCGAAGGTGGAGCTGTGAACTTGAAAAGCTCTCGATGCACCGTGTGCACTTTGAATACGTAGCGGGCTGCTGCTGCAGACAGGAAGAAACATGGAATCGTGAGGATCATGGATATGCCCGCATAGCCTAAGAATCGTCCCCTGTTTATGTGAGCTTCATCATTCACAACGTTGGTAATGCAAGTGACGCACCATATGGGATGAGTAGCGTCGCAGTGGAGATCATCTGTGGGTTGGATGGCGTGAAGGGATAGTAGGACGGGAATGGCGACACCAAGTGCACCGAGCGGAAACACGACGATGGGTAAGAGATATTGGTTTCGCCATACCAACGTCCTGCTCGCGCATTGTAAGTACTCAAAACTGCGATAATGCAAACCACGCACGAGGAAGCGGTCATTATAACAGAGGACGGCCACACCACAGCGCGTGTCGTCGCCATCGTGAAGGCGGCACATACTCCAGTCACGGAGAGAGCAGAATAGTATATGATGAACGTCTGAGCTGTTCGAGACATCATATCAGGGCAACAGGACAACACCATACATTATAAACGCTTACCTTTGCAAAAAGCCGGTGGCATATCATACGGGTTCATATTATATATCATGCCTTCAAGGAGTCAGCAAAGCTTTCCTGACTCTCAGCTGTTTGGCAGCCACACGACAACACGGACGCACCCAGGCAAAAAATTCCCTGGAGTATCGTTGCAAAAACGCAGTATAACATTGGACCCCAGTAGCTCTGGATCGCGCGAGCGAACACTGTTAGGACTATCCAGCATGCAAAGATACCTGTGCCACCGTGACGTCAATCCGGGGAGTTTTTGATGTCCGGATCTGCTCACCAGAGAACGACAGTGCAAACCATACAACTTTCAGCGCGAATGGTAGCATGGGGGGGCCAGTTTCAGCAGGCAGTATTTGACCCAGGCCAAATGCTGACAGTTTACTGTCACGGTACTGGAGTGAGATACATGACCCAGGCTCATGCCTAGTAGTTGAAAATAGCCCGGAAACAATCCACTTCTAGATCTCATCTTTTCTCACTGTCAAAGTCCGGAGCCGCTTCAGCGTGGCGCAGTGCATAAGGAGCACATAAAAAAGCATAATATTAGCCTACATTGTCCTATATTAAACCATCCGTAGTATGATGGCAGTGGGCGCGAGGATAATATACGACGAAGGAAATTGTCAACTTGATGAGGAGAAAGTGACGACGAAAATGACTCAGCCCAGGAGGACCCCAGATCCACCACAAGGCGGCCGCCGCCATCTGATGCGTAACGTGCCATAGTACGAATTGATCTCCTTATCTTTCGAGAGCTTGGCTAACTTCAACGCCACCAGCGAGGCTGGCTACGACAGTCTCCACCCCTGGCGAAGGTGAGTCTGTCTGGGCAGTTTCCACTTGCGTATCATCAACTTCTTCTTGGCACCATTCCATTTTCAACTCCACATCCATGATATCCTTGCCTATGCCAATCGGGAAATCGAGGTCATCTCGGGGCAGTATGAACGACGAGGATCGTGTCTCGGGAGCGATGTGAAAAGCCGGGATGAACCACAGCCAAGCCATAAATACCTGCCAGGGCTTGGCGTGAGGAATGACACGTAGAAAACATTAAGCACATACCTGTCCCATGTAGAGTTTGATGCGTAACTCTCGGTCGGCGTCAACTACTATTCCGCTGCGACCGACCCTGGTGTTTGTCACTGACTGGGATATAGAATCGGTAGAAGTCATCTCCGATTTGACTGAAGGCTCTAAGTCGCGAGTTTCCTCCTGTCGAAGGGGTGCTTTGGAAATTTCCACCCAACACTCCTCATTCAGGGGACAGAGAACATAGCGACAAACCTTGACGCTCTGTCATTTGTGAGTTCCCTAGGTGGTGCTACCAGCTTATCATATAGTTGACGGACCTCGTCTGCGCTATTCATTTCAGAAGGTCGCTTTCCATCATCTCCCATCCGAGCGAAAGTCCGTATCATCTTTTCTTTGTCCCATTTGTCGCTGGCAAAGATACCACTGACCGATTCGGACGACTCAGATTTTCGTCTTCCCAAGTTGGTGCTATCCCGAGTACTTTGCTCCCAACGCTCTAGAGCGTCGACCAAGTCGTCGTCATAGCGTGCTAGTGACGCCCACACACGGTTATTGCGAGGACCAACAAGACCATTTCCGTCCTTTCCGCGATCCATTAGCAAGCTAGCCGCACGAACGAGACCCGCTTTGATTCCAGAGATCTCACGCAGTCGAAGTGAAATTTCAGTGATGCGCACTTTCCTCGTGAGAATCGACGATGAGTTAGACCCATTGCGCAAGCCCGGTTTCATGTCTGACAGCCCCCACATGCCAGGTGGACCCTGGCCAGCAAGAAGTCGTGACCAGTATAGAAGCCAGCGCCGCTGGCTAGGAATACTAACACCTGCTCTCGGCTTCGCGCTTGATGTGTTCGTTGAAATGGACGACGCTTTCATCCGGCGAGAGGTGTGCAAGTCTAATACCTGTTGTAACGTGGGCGCAGAGGGTTTGGAGGGCATACTTTGACTTTCATCTCGGGACTCCGGGGATGTTTCTTCCACAATGGATGGAGGAGGGACGGTTGCTTCCCCTAGTTCTTCAAGGACAGCATCGTTGGGGATTACTTGCATGCAATCATCAACGCGTACAGCGACCCAGTCCTTTTCAAAGTAACTGTTTTCCGAAAAAGGAGGAGAAAAGGTGTCGAGCGAGAGAAGATAAGCACAGACTAGCATGCCTGATCTTCCCTTCCCAGCTGCGTGAGAATAAAATTAGTGGATATGCAGAGCAGATGGAGGAGCAAGCTGTACCTTTGCAGTGCAAAGCAGCTACTCGGTCCTTTGAAACTGTTACCCAGGCATGCATCTCTCTCGAAACCAAGGGGAGGATGGCAAGGGGAGGCGTACTGGATTTAGTGATTAGCGATTGCAAACCAACATCGTATGGCTGTTCCTTACTGATGATCTGGAAAGGGGTAGCGACTCACTCGTCCTCCAAAAACGCTCTTGTCGTAAAAGTTCTCCCTGACTGGGCAAAAGTTGAATACCCAAAAGTCGCTACCGTGCCGAGCAGTAAGAAAGCGTTGAGCATCTTCGCGACGGTTTCGGTAGAAGCCCTCAATACCAGCAGCAGGATAGCCCATCACAATGACTTGATCGGTTACATATGCAAGGTCTAGAATCATACGATGAAAGCATCACAGTGAGCTCGATAATCAATGAAGCACATGATACAGTGTCATACCTAGCTCAAGGTCAAGGTTCGGATCCTTGAACCTAGCTTTGCCACCCGAAACAAGACGCCGCAAAAATTCGGCCATAAGGCGATCAGATGTCTGATGAATTGAACTGGAGCATAGAGCGCGCAGAACAACATGTCAAGGCGAGGTGGTCATTGAAATTTGGAGCAACAATGGAGCTCGGACCTTCCCAAAGTGGTGTGCCTGATAAGGCAGGGTCTGTAATTGGGTTACTACTGCCACACCCGGGCCAGCCCTACCTGGACCCGTTATTTCTGTTTTCAATTAATGCCACAAGCTTTATGATGCCTTGAAAGTGGCGATATAACCGAAAATACGATCGGTTGCACAATCTTATCCTCGACGGCTTATACCATCCCTCCAAGGTATCCCTCGTATATTGGTTCAAGTTGTACAACTAAATGTGGCCGCTCGTTTCCTGACTGGATTGCGAGAGCAAATCGAAGATGATCCTGGACTTTGTATGGTCTCATTCAAGTATCATGTCTCGCAAAGCACCATCAGATGTCAGATATATCGTGGCTGGATCCGCACGAATACATCTCAGACGAGGAGTATCGTGAAAAACTATCAACAGCATGCTGGTACAGCAGAGTCGGTAAAAGAGACGTTGAGAAACTTCTGAATGTCGGCGAGGATTAATCACTTCCAGGTCTACATACCATGCCCAAACGTTCATTGAACCCGCCCAGCCTTGCACTCTGAGGAGGATGAGGATGCGCTGCCTGCTCGATCATGATGCGAGACTCCTGGCAACATAAAAATCCTGTTCAGGCGAGTCTGTGATTTCGCGGGGGCATGCATATAATGCATCTGATTCGCAATTGGCAGTAATTGCGTGCATGCGAGACGGAGGGAGATGTTGCTTGATGTTGCGTACTTGTGCGTGTTATCGACATCCTAGATTTTGGAAATCAGGCAAAGTGAGAAACCAGGTTCTTTATGAAGGCACATGTCGAAGCCCAGCCAGCCCGATGAAGAAATTAAAAGTTGGCTATCATCCAATCATCCAAGTTTCGGCAAGCCAACTAGAAGGCGAGTGACTTGCTAAGCCCAATCCTATTCGCTCCAGGATTGCAAGGAGTCCAGATTGATATCCGGACATTCCCATGTCGGGTATGCAATTTGACGTTATACAGGCAAGATACCATTTTTGTTTCAAACCCTTGATAACGAGGTCAGAAGATTTTCGTGAGACGCTGAGGAAGCAGAGACGGGACTGGCTCCAGTAAGGATTGTTGTATATTTCATAAAAGTTGTGTCTGTTTCGACCCGATCTTGGGCGGTCTTGACATTTTCCCGCCCGTACTAGCCAGCAGTATAGTTAAGTGATTGCCCATGCTACCAGTGCCGATGAATGCGATCTGATTGACTCAGCGAGGGGAAAGTTTACCTTCTATGAATACAGGTTGCGCCGTAGTTAAGCATGCGAGGTATATGAATTGAATACAAGAAATCAAGCCATGAGATCCACGAGAATGGTGATAATGCCAAGTACTAGATCGCACCAACATGAGCTCATCGTTGAAAAAACAAAAAGAAAGACAAATTTACCGATTTCAATCCCAATAAGAGCAACGACAATCTGTTCAAGTCGTTCTGCATGCCTACTTGATACAGACTCCTTGAGAAGTTGGAGCATATCTTGAAGAACCTGTCCATGAAATCAGCGAATGAAGGCACGCCACATCAACTAAACTAGCCTCGACTCGTGTATTTAGGAGATTGATTCGCTGAGGGATCTCCAGATAACTCCGCGCGGCATCATACAACGGTTGGAGATCGGGAAAGCTCTGAAAAGGTGTCAAAAATGCCGGCACTTGACGTGGACAACCCGGCTTACCCAGAATACTTCCTAGAACGGGGGCAGGGGTGAATTTAATGTACTCTAAACAAATATTTTCTTACCGGAGAGTCTAAGACAGAGCCTACAGAGTTGATATTAGTCCGTAATATGAACAACTCCCCGGTTTTGCGCATAATTTCTGGAGAGTATATGTTAGATGGTTTACAATGCAGCATCTTCTTGACCGACCTTTATGGGGTATGCCGATCTTGCCTGTCTCTGACAATGTTTCGGGTATATCTTTCGTGTCTTCGATAGTATTCGAGATAAGCTCCTCGAACTGAGCGGCCCTCAGGAAGATATTATGCCATATAATCAAGTCAGCGTACCAAGGATATCTTGACAGACTGAGACAGTGCGTGCGATAGAGAGAGCTTTGTCCTTGATGTGTTTAAGTATCATAGAGACTCCTTTTATGCTCGACTCACATGTAACCAGATCCCTTACGCAAGGTGATGACATCATTGTATATCCTGTGTCATGAGTAAAAAGCAGCGATTTCGGCAAGTGACTAAACGTACCGACTGTAGTTTGCATAGTAATAATTCAGATCCTCCATTTCAATGTCGTCTGGTGCTGTAAGCGATTTAGACTTCTGCAGGGAATATAAACGCCCTCACATACCCAATCTTTCAACTTCAAAACGCTTGCTACGAACAGTTCGTCGATGCTGATTGTAACAAAAGAAAGTACTCACATGGAGGACAAGAAACGTTTCTCTTGGGCTTCACTCATTCCCCATATGACGACTGTTCCGTAGGCGAAAATGAAAATCTCGGCCTCGGTTGGAACAGTGTGAAATTTGCTGATCTTCTTGCGATTAGAGGTGAGCCCATGGTCTTCCGCTTCAGAGACCAGGGGATTTAGTTCAGGGATTCCTAACAAATCCCCACTCGCCGGGAGGAATTTCGCATTTGTTTCTTGGTTGACTTGGGGTTCATATGCGTAAGGAGTATACAAAACATCGTCAATAATCTTGGGGTCTGCAAGATAGGATGCCCTCCGGGCATTGAAAAACTTCGAAAGTTCATGCAGACGATAGGAACTAAATCGAGACAAAGCCTGTCAGTTACATAGTCAAGCAAGAAGCCAACAAAGAACTACCTTGCCGTCGCATATGCCGTTACACGAGGTAATGACTTCGCCTTTTTCTTTGTCAGCCTCAGTGCATCTCTTCGTGCCGTTCCCTGCGGAATTTGGGAGATTTGACGTAGTCGTATTTCGACATCCTCGTCTTCGTCCTCATCTGACTCATCCTCGTCCTCATCATCCCCGTCATCCGTATCTCCTGTTGTGCCTAGACTTTCCTCAGCATCTGGACGTGGCAAAACGTTGCTTTGGGTAGACGATGTTGGTTGGTCTGGTAGGACCTTGAGTTTGCCGGCGACCTTCGTAGACCTGTTTGCACCGCGAGTTTTCGGCTCGGGCTCCTTAGAAACGCCTACTATAGATTTCGGTAAGAGCGGGTTTGTAGGCATGATGAGACTCGGATGTTATAACACTTGAGTTCCTCTCTCAGTTGTCTCGTCGTCTCGTGGGCGTGCTGAGTGGGTCACATGACTGCTAGTCACGTTTTTCAAAAGTTGTGTGACACTGCCGTTGCACTGCCGCAGTCAGAAGTTTTAAAGACGTCAACACCCTTGGCAAGTACAGAGCTCTGGCCACGCGAATTCCAATCGTGTCGACATGCTGGATCAGGCCTCAGGGTGCATGAAGGTTTGAAGCTTGCGATTTACAAGGAAGTCGTTTTTGCTCACACCCCTTGATGATCATCTTCTCGGTCACCTGTTCAAGTTGCCCTGACTCTGACATCATTCTACCTCGCCTATTATATACACTATGTCAATGCAGGGCGAGCTGCAGCGAGCGTATATTTGTAAAACGCCGCTCAGGGTTTCCCCGAAGTGTTTTGTGGTATGTGATAGCATCATATAGTACTGAAAGTACCGCAACCTGCATCACTGTAGGACTTGACCGCAGAACGTCAAACGCTCGCGCGTAGGCACCGCTGATATCGGTATACGACGTGCACAACAGCGCTATCGACTGCACTGCTCAGACTCGTCCGATTAGATCTCTCCCACTAGCTAATATTAGTGTCGTACTGCCAGTGTCATGCAACCTCGCCGGGTCCCAAGCTTCCAAACTCAGATCATCATAAGGATATAATTATCCGTTTACATAAAGTTTAAAGCGTGGTAAATTGTAAGGTTTGTGCCTTTACGTTTACTTTATGCTTCAGCACTGGGGGAAGCCTCACGTCACGGTGAATAATAGCAGCGGGAGCCTCGCTAATCGGGGAACGCTCATTGGCGGAGAGGACTATCTACCCCATGATGCCACTATGTGCCAATGTATGTATACCTAAATGACATACTATGGCAGTCAACTCATTCTCATTTCGCCAGCCTTCTTTGATTCAAGATCACGCAACAATCCCGAAGTCGTCGGATTGGAAGGAAGCTTTATCCTATGAGCTGGCCCCGCGGAGCCGTTTTGAGCCGCAGGGTTTACTGCCGTACAGAAAACCCTCTTTTTTCTTCTGGTGTTTGGAAGCAAGTAATTTTTACTAACAATGCACCCTACGCAGAGGAAGTTACAACAACATTGTCGTCATGTACATTTACCATTTTTCAGGCCTAGGCATCCAATCCATCATTGATATTTTATTTCCCCGAACAATTATCCAGGTCTGCTTCCCCGACCTTTCAGTGTTCTTTATCAGGTATGATTGAATTCTACATACTGGGTCTGTTCCGAGTTTGGTGACACATTCAAACTGGCCATTGGCGATAATCCCTCTCAAATGATTTGCAATGTCCCTACGTTCGAAGAAGGGCTCCCGGTCAGATTGCTAGTAGTATGGCTGAACGCAGGCGTGTGGAAGCACATGTACTGTGTCAAGAATCCTTTCAAGAAAATTTACTCTCACACTTATCACCATTTGTCTAGGCATCTATCACGCAAACTCGCCAGTTCTCCCCTTTGTACGAGGGGACAAAGTGAGTCGCGCTGATTCGTCGGGAGTAAGACTTACCTAAAGCACATGTTCTATCTCAGGTCTAACTTCAATACTCCCATTTTCCGTTAATACGCTCCAACTGAGCATACCTGCTCAAGCAACGAATAGATCCCTTAGTTCGGCCCGAGACGGCGATTAAGCATCAGCAGGGCAGTTGCCTACATATGACATTTCCGCGGAATAAGCAGAAGAACACCCCTGAACAGGCTGCGCCAGCACTACTGTGGTGTGCTAACCTGCTCTGAATCGGAAATATCTGCCGTCACATCTGGACATTCAGTCTGGCACACCGAAACAATTCACGAGTGCCGCTATACTGGATACGGTCTGCATGTCATCACCCTTCAGGTGATGTTTATCACTTTACGGAACCGCAAACAGGAAGAAGTATCATGAATGATCAATTACATAACAGAGGAAGTGATGTTGTATTTCCGGGGTCAGGCTACACTGTGTCCATGGTACGTACCTAATAGGCTTGGCATTAAGGTCCTGCGTGAGAGGAATATGTAAATTTTCTGCAGGCGGGGATATCTCGGTTACGTTCCCCACCCACCAACAGCTGCCTACCTGAGATGAGACGTTCAGCATAACCCCTATCCCAGCTCAGCAACAATGACCCTTCGCGACGGAAAACATCTCACGGCCTCGATTCCTCCGCTGATCGTATTCGCGTTCGATGATCGGCGTCTCGGATCAATTGGGTGTCAAAATGTTATACATATTCACATTTAAAAATAACAGACAACCAGGACCACACACACTAGTTCACTGCAGACATACATTAGCGTGGCGACGGGGTTTGACAAATTGGGGAAGTGCACAAATTCCTGCGGTTACTATGCGGTACAAAGTACACTATCTACATATGAGTCCGAGGCTTACGCGCGAACTAGTATGAGTTCAACAGACAACACTTAGGATACAATACGAGCTCACCCTTATCAGAATGACAATAAGGTACCTGTGTGCGTTCGGCGTTAAGTAAAAACAAGTATCAATATGTAAGTTTAACAAGATGTGTGAGGATTATAAATGTATAATTGACAAAGAAATGGGTGGTCCACGCCTGGAGGATGAGGTATATTAAAATAAGTAGAAAAGGAAGTCGTAGAACATCTCAAGATTAGATCGGCCTCAATGAATCATCAGGTATACGAGCACCTTATTGATTCGGGATGTAAAGCAGAATGTCCCTTTGAAGGGGGGTGATTTCGGTCTCCTCCCTTCGAGACAAAACCTGGCGAGACCTGAGTTGAAAAACGCTGAAGAAATTGTTCATCAATAGGTTCGCGCCTTGGATATGCAAGCCCTTGGAGATATTCGAGGGGCACCAATTGTTCCGAGAGGTGGGAAGGACTAATTCGCGGACTTGGAGTGGCGGGTCCTGATGATGATGATGAGGGTGGGGAAGGACATGCTGAGCGACTCTGGAATGGCGCGGCATCACGAAACTGTGATTGCATCTGAGTAGGAACCACATTGGGAGCCGAATAAGCCGTCTGGCGGACGCTGGAAGAGTGATGCCTGCATGATCCTTCTGCGGGAGAAGGAAATGAATAGGCGGTCTTACGTCCGCTTGTGGCCTCTACTTCCAGCAGGTCAAGCTGGGAGGAATTTCTTGAAGTGGGAAAATGTGTAAACGCGGTAAACGGTGAAGGATTTGAATTTGAAGCATGAAATGATGACTGAAACCCGGATTGAACCGGATTAATCTTGGGTAGTACGCCCTCCATGGGAAACTGTGGGAGTTGCTTTGCCAGGGCAGATTTTGGTAGGTCGTCATCTCGTCTCGTCTTAGCATCCCTACGAGCACTTCGGAACCATCCGTCTGGAACCGGGACATCACCGACCCCTGGTATATTATCGATTGTGTTAAGCCGATCAAGCTTCTGTTGACTGAAGTAGGCAGCTGATGAACGAAGGATGATTAGACTTCCGAGGCGGCGGAGATAGCTCAGAAACGTACTTAAGTGCCACTTCCTAGTGATACCTCGTGTGCGATCATCAGGTAACGAGACACGTACACTATAAGTCTGCTTGATCAAACGTTCAGAGTCCCCCGTAGCACGTGCTCGCGAAGAAGGGTACATGCTGTGAAATAGGTAAAATTGTCGTTCCACGGCGTTTGGACTTTGGGCGCCCACATGATTGATGTGACCTACCTAATCATCTGAGCCCATGGAGTGCCGGAGCTACCTGGATCATCATTCACATCACATTCTTTCTGCTGATAGAACAGAAATTCCTTTGGAAAATGTAAGTCCGGAGGAAACTTGACAATCGACATGTACTCACATCGCGGACTCTACTTGGTCCCCAGCCCATGCCATCCGTCCTAGCAATATAAATAATATTGAATTGATATGCTTAGACCCCCAGCCACATGTGGACAGACCATCGTTCCATGCCGAGACCTGTAGCCTCAGAATTTGCACTGCGTTCCTCCCAAACATATACGTTTCCGGGAGCGATAGCCCTTCGTTCCTCAGCGTCCAATCGGCGTGTTGTAAGTGGGAGCGCATTCCTCGCAACAGCATGAAAGATGTAAAGCGCATCCCTTGTCGAGCGTATGCGAACATTTTGGAGGGAAGGTTGCTGCATATCTTCAGGACGAGGATAACAAGGGGGAAATGCCAAGTGGGTCTTAGGATCAACGGAACTTCACAGCACAGGTTATATATTCTTGGATTCGTAAGGGAACTGTGAACCACGGATAAAATTAAAATTATTCTAAGTTTGAATTGAGTTAACCCACATGCTGGATTTTGAAAAAGCGCCCTGTGATCGGACTCTTCAGATTCGACTTGAGAGTATTTCCGAGACGTGGGGACGCCGCTAACTACTCCACTAGCCAAATCCATAATGATAACGCAGCATAAAGTGCGAAGAACGTGGGTATAAGATTACAAGTTGCTCATCTCCCAATATGGCTGTTCCGGTGCAACGCAAGATACCGACCAAGTTGCCAGTGCACGCAGAAACCTTACAGTACAGGTTGACTACAGGGTTGCTTTAATTTATCTGATTTGTCCTGATGCGGCTGACAACCGCTGCAGATGCGGGCTTTTGCAAAACCTTTATGCCCGAACACTAATAAATTTCTAGCATAACAGTCTAGTCGACATCAAAACACACTCCACGATGTAAGTTACATTTCAAAGATATCTGATTCGTTCTGCATAGAGTTCATTGATGGCCAGATGGCGCACATTCGCCAGAAGAGTCTGGGATTGGTCCATCAGAGACTTGTTTCGCTTTAAAGTTGCAAAATCCTAACAAGGTTTGATTTCAGAACTGGACACTGCGGTGTGCTCATCATCATCATGACGGTATCATATGATCATTACGATTGGCGCCATGACATAGCAAAACTTTTCGACACAAGGACTTACCATTGTAGCTAAGCAATGTCGCCCATGCGCATTTAAAAAGCCTCATCCAAAAGCCATGCAGGTAATCACCGTCCATGGATCTCATATCATCAGGGACCAACGGGCGGTTGTTTGAAACTGCATTTAGACGTGAGCGCAGCTCCAAGTGGCCATGCTGAATCTAGGAGGGACTCGGATAAAGCCTAATTCACTCGTATGACAAGTTCACTTCCTCCGAGTCATGCTGAACTTGGCCAGGCCACATGTGCTCTAGCCAGCTCAATCTGGAATCGTATCTCTAACTTAGTAGGGGCCGGCAACGATGATCGACGGGCTTTTTGTCAACATACAGTTTTAACGTGTACGCCCACTGCGTTGAAGCCGAACTTCCCCTTTCGTGCTGTCAGCAGGGGGTGTGCGTTATCCAGTGGACATTGTCGGTGAAGGAGAACACTTCCCACCTTCGAAGTTATAATTGATCGCATCTTCACAGTACGTGCTGATGAAGTTCTAGATCTTCTGAGAAGGCATAGAGAAAAAAAGGTTTTCAGATGGCAATGCCCGACGCGCCTTGCTAGTTGTCATGGTGTGGTGGCAGGCGTCTATAGGATGTGTGCGTCTGAATAGCGGCACAGAACCTTTCAGGCATGTCGGGTGCCGATTTCCATTGTTTGAGTCACCCGTCAAATTGTTATGAGCATTTTGGAAAACAAGGACACTGCGGTTAATGAACTGAGCCGAAGGGTCAAAGCATTATGAATACAGGCAAATTGAAACTGAAACCGAGGGCTGAAACACGAAGATCACCCGAAAATTGAACGGTTGCTTGGGAAAGTCTGCAGGGCAAACTTAGTCTAGACACGGCTGATTCCGTGCGGACAAACACCCCGGGCCCATTGCAACAGCCTAGGTTAGGGGAAATAGCGTAGCTCGCTACGTACTTGTGCCGCGAAGGTTTGGCCTTCAGCTCCGTGGCAACGCTGGCACCACAAGCATATTGCAGGGGAGGTGAGCGGGGAAGTCCGGACCCAATCCGTCGTTTGTTACTTACACGTAGACTTAAGGTTTCACAATGTCACTTTGAACTGCGTGGAAGTGATTAACAACAGATCGGCGCTTAAAATATTGAATTCCGCGGCAGGTTGCTGGCACCTCTCCGCATTGTGTTGCGGCAATGTGTGCACAGTCAGGCAAGTAGTACAATCCGTTATATATGAATGGGCGAAGGTGAGCTAAGGGGGGCCGGGTGCAGCATGTTCATCAATTCGCTCATGCCTAGCGGATTTTTCCGTCTGGGTTCGTAATACTTCGTATTTGATAGTAGTACAGCCTGCAGTCCGGGAACTTGGATCGTCGCGAACAAGGACACAATCATCAGCTAGCAAAGCCCGAGGATCACAAGCGCGGTGAAGGCACCCCCACGGACACCTCAGCGGACCCGTAGGCTCGTTTTTGTGGCGTATACTGTATACGGCACGTCTATCTCGTCGGGCATGATAACACAAGATGAGTCCGCGCCTGCGCCATTGTTAATTTCGCTCTCTCCCGGTTGGCTGTTGTGGTAAAAGGTTGATACGCATTTGATTAAGGTCATATTTCAAATCTCGAGAGCCAATAGTTATCCACATTAACATTAGACATGGGTATAAGAGATACTGGGTGGGAGCGACAACAGGTTTGTAGCAACTGGAAGCCGGTTAATTCACGAGATGATCTTGGAAAAAAAAAACATCGTCAAGCACGAATACGCCCAAACGACTACAATGCACACACCTGGCAAAGGCAGCACGACCGGGACATAGTCGGGAATCTCTGCGTAATGTTGTCGATCACGGAAAAGATAACGTACGCGAAGCGATTTTGGGGATGTAGGGGCAGGATCGTAGAAACCTTGAATACCGGCCTGTGACATAACACGTGAACCAAAATTCGAGGAGAAGGTATGAGCGTGACTACCTTTGTGCGATGACCGGGGATATGAACCTGACTGTTGTGCACCAAGGCTTGTACAGGCACAGTTACATCTATCGTAAGGTTCTCGGCATCCGTTTCGGGTCCGTACGTCGCACTCAAGATGACAAGGCCTTTGACTCAACGTGAGAACCACGTGCCCGGATATGTAGAGATGTCGTACCTCCTCTGGACCTCTCCGTTTGCATGTGACGTTTGGCAGTGTCGCTCAACAACCCCACGGTATCATCAATCCGCCTCTTTAGCTGAGTTTTTTCCTCTTTGAGGAGGCGCTCAGCCTTGCGGAAATATCTTTTTAATCAAAAAAAAACGAAAACGTTAATCTGACAATCGAAGGAAGTTGGAGATAAGACTGACAATGTCCGTTGTAACTGCCTACGAGGCTTCAAAACAAAATGATATCCGAGGAGGAGAACTGTTGAAGGCAAAACAGCCGAAAAGAACTCCAGTGTTTGATTTCTTACGGTGGACAAAGTTATTGGCAATATCCACTTCTGATGGAGATATTCCAACCTGGTATCAACGCGTGAGTCAGGAGAATATTTGAGGACGAAGTGGCGCACTCAAAGCGCATGATTAACCCCTTGGTGCTCACACCAAAGCTAGTTGATATAGCAGCATTCGTGTTAGTCCATGTTGCAGTGACCAAATAGGCCATTTGTCGAAACCCAATCTCTAGGCCTGCCTTGAACCTCAGCGATAGTTCGAAAAACCAGATAGACCATTCGGTCCTGATACACGAGTTGAGGCCAGATAACTGTAATCCACACGACCAAGCCCGCAGTCCAACCCCAAAACCACTGACGGAGCCAGGCTTATTTGTGAAGTCGGCGTTCATACGGTCCGTATAGTGAACGTAATTTTCAGAAGACGAGAAGTCAAATGGCTGAGGGGAGTGTATATCAAATTCAAAGCTTCCCATGGACAATGGAGAGAATGTCCACGCCACAGAGCCCACCGTTGAAGCATGTCGGAAGAGTCGACGACTGAAGGAGACGGTACTAGCCGGAGGGAGAAGGTTCCAGAATGCAGGAATGAAATGCACACGGCAATTTAGGGTATTGTCATTATCTTCGTAGCTCGCTTTTGCGACAATGAGGTGAGGGTCTAAGAAATGTGCTGTAGCCTTTTCAGATGACGATCATTCCCTGAGTAATAAGTCTGATGTAATAATAAGGCATACCTCCAAAGCGAGCCGAGGAGAAAATTGATGGCGTATCGTGCCCATGAGGTTATTTCTACTCAGCAAGTCATTTCGAGGGCCTAGTCCCAGGTGACTCGTGAATTTGAGATTAGTCTTTTCATTCAACACTTTCTGCACGATTTGGAGCGGATATGAATGTCAGGTGGGAACGAAAAGGTATGGAGCTCACCGTAACGGAGTGACGAATGGCAAATTGAGAGACCCAGACTCCACGGAAGCGGGTGAGGATGCCTCTCGAATCATAATCTAAGTCATCACCGCGTGCGAATAACGTCGATGCGTCAATTCCACACGTCACAGTGCCTCTTGGCCGAATGAGGTGATCAAACACTTCTTGACTACGATCGATCCTCCAACGTCGAAGATGTGCACGTATCTGTCAAGAGGACTCGTAAGTCAGCATTGCATGCTGGGCGAAAATGCCGCACTTGTTCAACACTCTGAGACCGCAACTCGGTTGGCCACGGGTTTTTTGAAGCATCTTCGCCTAGTGCCGATAAGGAAATATATGGTAGTGTGAAGTATGCCCAGAAGATAGAATGCGGATGTGCTTACCTAGGAAATCATACACTTCCCTATTAGAGTAAGACCGCATGCAAAGAACGGTGTGTTACAACAAAAACTCACCGAAGAAAAGGGTCTGACAAAACTTTAAAGTGTTGTCAGATATTGCATTGGAACTGGACTAAAGACTTTCACCTTCGTAAGCCTTCTGAATTTCAAGGAATTCCACAGCTGCAGTGTCCGTTGTCCGTTCCCCGCGTTGCTTATCGGGGTGAAAAATCACAGACAATGCTCTGTAGCGTTCCCGTATTTCGGTTGCGGAAGCGGTCGTTGGCACGTTTAATACTGAACTTTTTGATATGGTCAGTAGCGACTCTGGACGCTATACGAACGACGTACTAAAAGTATTCATTTCGCACCGGGTCTACGCGTGATTTGTTCATGCTGGCTCCCAAAAAAAATTGCGCGTACGTGGTACCAACGTCAATGGCCAACGTGCACGAGTTTTTCAACGACACATTCTCGGTTCCCCCTATGATGCAAAAAAGCTTAATCGGCTTTCGGGTAACAAAATTCCCACGAGACGTGAATCGCCACGTCGGTTGTTAGTTGGCACCAAGCTTAATTTCCTCCTCGTCTTCATCGTTCACCATGACCTCCCGCATAAACATTGGTCGTCCAGCTTCAACAAGCTATCATAGCCCAGATCCCCATGGATTCGCAAACTCACAACCTTCTACAGGTTACAGAGCAGCTAACCCAGACCATCCTCTCGAAAGGATTCGAGCAGTTGCTAAACAAGTCGAAGACGCTATCGAGATATATTCTCAGCCCTTGAAACCTCATTTACCTACTATCGGCCGGTTCTTGATTATCGTCACGTTCTATGAGGATGCTCTGAGGATTATGACACAGTGGAATGATCAGCTTTGGTACCTCCAAACGTCAGTTACAGCCATGCATAGTAGGAGATGTTTGTTCAAATTTCATTGGTTACAGACATAGGTATTTCTACCCGGGAATCTCCCACCTCTTTCTACTGCTCAATGTCATCGTAAGCCCTCATTCCAAATCTCGCAATTTCTGGATTTAATTCACTCGTCGTAGACAATGCTTGTCGCTTCCTCAGCCGTCATCATGAAAAGGTACACAGAATATGCGGTCATCGGTCTCCTCGGCGTAGTTGTCATTCAAGGCTTCGGATATGGCCTGATGTTCGACCTCACTTTCTTCCTTCGTAACTTGAGCGTCATAGGCGGTCTCATCATGGTGTTTAGCGAAACCATGATCAACAAAAAGAAAAGCTTTGCCGGTATCCCGTCTATGAGTGAAACAGACCGCAAGAAATAGTGCGTATTCTTCCCCTACCCTTCTTTCGCAGCTCACTCATCTATTCCCCCACCATTGTAGCTTCCTCCTAGCAGGTCGCGTCCTTCTCATCTTCCTCTTCTTTGGCTTCATTATCCAAGGAAAATGGAGCATAGGCCGCGTATTCATGTCCCTCTTCGGTCTTGCAGCATGCACTATGGTAGCTATCGGCTTCAAAGCAAAATGGTCTGCGACCTTCCTTGTCATCCTACTCAGTGTCTTCAACGTCTTTGCGAACAACTGGTGGAGCGTTCATAGTGCGCATCCTCAGCGTGATTTTCTTAAGTACGTGTGTCAGTTATATATTAGGGCATGTGCTGACGCGCTTTGCTAGGTACGATTTCTTCCAGACGCTCTGTAAGTCACTATTTCTTGCCATCACACCCAGTATTCAAACATTAATAAATCACAGCTATCGTCGGAGGTCTCATCCTTCTCGTGAATATTGGACCCGGTACGTCAATCACACTCTCCCTACTTCGTTCGTTCGTGACTGACGCCCACACAGGTGGTCTCTCGGTAGACGAGAAGAAAAAGACATACTAGAGCAAAGACTCTTTGTTTTCTTTATTGGCACCATAACAACAGTATTACCGTTATCCCGCAGAAGATGCCTAGGATCGCTTGAATGCCTGTCGTGTCGGACGCCTCGGTACTCATACATAGTACATATATCCCATATCGCATTGTCAATAACTATGGCATAGTCGATTTGTCATCACCGCATAGAGATACCAGTCCTCATCAAAGTTTTTTTGCACATATAGATGAGTGTGACGCGAGGATGTGCGATTTCTGGCGTGGAAGTAACACCTCGAGTCAAAAACCAAATGTCAGGCTGCTACCCTAACTGCCTAAATACATTCTTGCTCCCACTCCTCATTCCCTTCCTCCGCTGCTTCCTCCCCGTCCGTTCACTCTCACTCAACACAGCCGTCCCATCCCCATCCCCACCCCCACGCTCCATACCAGCTCCAAACACCTCCACGCCCTTCCTCGGATTTCTGTCTTTTCTGCTCCCCCGGTCTCTTGAGGTATCTTTTGCGGAAGAAGGGACCCAGCTCATTTCAAACCCTCCTTTATCTCCCTTCGCTGCGGCGTGGGGTGTCGTAGTGCGAGAGGAACCACGTGCAGGTGCATTCCTCCGCTGTCCAAACGTAGCAGTCTTATTATCTGTCTTTTTAACGCTCGTACTAGTTTCAGTATGTGGAACGAGAGGGACGAAATTGATGTTGGCATTGGATTGTCTGTTGTGTTGGCGCGTCCGCGCGTATGCTTGGTGTGCGCGTTCGTTCTTTTGGCCTGGACGTACACGTGGGTCAAATTTGTTGAGTTCTGGGAGGTTATGTGAGTACGCGATCGTGAGTTTTAAGTAGACGACGGTGGGTGAGGGGAAGATGATTAGAAACGAAAACAGAAACTCACCACCAGCATCACTACTATCATCACTATCACCACCCTCGCTCTCACTCTCATCCTCACTAATCCCAGCAGACGAAGCCCTCTCGCTCTCCTCTTCTTCCTCCTCAACAGCGGTCTTCCCTCTTGGCTTCTGCTTAGAACCCGAAGCTGAAGGATGCAAAAGTGCATACTCTCTTGTTGTTTCGTCCACTGCGAATTCGGGGTTCACGAACAAGTCTTTGAAACGGGGGTCGTTGAGGAGGGTTGGTTTTTCGAGTTCAGTTGGAGTTTGTTCTGCTTCATCATCATCGGCACCAACATCAACATCCATAGCCTCTTCATCCTCCCCACCCTTCGCACCCCTTTTCTTCTTTCTCTCCTCCTTCCTCCTCTCCTTCTCAAGCCCCTTCTCAATCCTCTCCGCCAACGCTTTATTAACCTTGACTTCCTCACTTCCAGCCCCAGCTCCAGTACCCTTCTTCGTGCGTATCCTCGTCTCTGCCATCTTCTCCATCCGCTCTTTGACGAGTTTCTCGCGATGCTCAGCATATGCGAAAGGGTTAGCAATAACGCGTGCGGTGTCGTAGAGGTGGAGGGACAGGAAGTAGCCGTGCATGTAGGGTTTGAGAGCGGGAGTTCCTATTAGGTGGTCGAGGCCAAGTCTGCGGGAGGTGCGTGAGTTGTGAGTCTGGGGTGAATGGGGAATGCAGCGCAGGATCAAGAGGAAATATGGTAGCAAACACAAAAAAAAACGCACATCTTCAGCTCACTCCTCTCTACAAACTTGAAATCCTCATACGCGGTCCTGGTCGTAGAATCTTCCATCTCTTCCGTGACATTTTCCAGAAAAGCAGCCCAGCGTGGTGCAGGACCAAGCGCAGGGACATAATATGTGCCCATTTGAATCCCTTCGTTTGCGGTTAGGAAGAGGCCACTGCCTGGGACGTGGTGGATATGGTTGAGGTCGTGTGCGGGTGTTATGGATACGAAGTTGGATGACGGCTGTTGTGCGTCGGTATCAGTGTCATTAGTGCTATTGAGTAAGTAAGAGGGGCTCACGGAATTACGATCCCATATTTTGACGACTTTTTTATCCGCGCTCATTACCATACCGTCCCCTGCGAGTCGACCGCCTTCTATCCATGTTAGATTGCGTATTGGGAGGCCGTAGCCTTGGTCTTTTAGTGCAAAGTGCCGGTTGGATCGGATATCGTACAGGAAGGTGTGTCCTGTGGATGTTCCTACAGCGTAGGATAGACCGTCCGATCGAGAAGCGAGAGCTGTGATGCCTATACTGAGTGTGTCGATGTCATCGACGCCTGGCATGGTACTCCGCGTTGTTGGACGTAGTAATCGATTGGTCGGTGCTCGAAGCACACCGACGGATGATCTGGAACGAAGATCCCAGAATTGAACTGTCCCGTTACCATCGACGCCGAATGCGAGGAGGTTATGCGCGGGGTTGATGTCAATACAGTTTACGCCTTGAATATCGTCGTCTTGAAGAACTAGGGGATTGAGAAAACGCCCTTGTTCGAGGTTGAGTCGATATATCTCGTTTCCTGAAGCTGAGAAGAGCGCGGTGCATGATGGAAAGTGATATGCCAGTGACCGACCGAAGCGCGGTATGCGAGTCCTATAATGAAATCCTCCCTGAGTGTGCAGCTCGATAGTACGATCATTCTGCAAGTGCATGATTTTTGTCCAATCATCCGATAAAATCTTGAACCCAAATCGTCGTGAGCTTGCATGAGGATGAGGAATATGAGACTGACTATGAAATCGACGTTCTCTGCATCTGAATGTCTCTCGAATTTTAGATTGAGCTCGTCTAGATCCCAGACTCTCGTCTGAGGTTTATAGGTGCCAGTAGCTATGGCATGATGACCGTCTCTTGTTGTTTTGATTTTGTTGCTGGCCTCAGGGAATTCGAATCCTTGGATGAGCTCGATAGCACCTTGGACATATTCTTTTGAGACTCGCTTTCCTTTTCCTTTCGCTGCTCGTTTTTTGATAAGCCAATCTGGAATAGATGATGATGAGCCTGCTACTGCGCCATTGACAGTATAAACTTTCACGTCCATCCTAGCTGCGACGACTTGAAAAAAGAAAATGCAAGTATATGAGAGCGTCCTAATTTGGATATGTCAGACTTAGAACGGTCTTTCTCAGTAATTCCCTCAAACCGCGTCTCCATGCCAGACCAAAGTGAGTAGTTTCATAGTATGTTTATTTTCCCGAATGGCTGATGTTTGAATCCAAGCAGATCAATCACAATACGCAGCGGCAGCGCACGTTCCACTCATAAAGTCACCAGGTCTTCGAGTTCCTCCACCTGTACGAATCGGAAGCATGTCCTCCTTCGGCGACTACACTGACTTGCTCTCAGGTACATCTACCACCAGACATCCACCCTCTCCCGGATAGCGTCCTTCCATACGCACGTACCTCTAACTCTCAAACAATCTCACTGACTGACAAGCTCGCAGTTCGTCTATCCATACACACTAGAACCTCACATCCTCACGGTCGAGTCTTCTCGGCGCATGACACTCGCGGCACATACTGCGAGAAGGGAGGCATATCTTCAAGCTAGAGAGGATGAGCGTGAATGGCGGAGAAAGGAGGCACTCAGGCGTGTCGCACCGGGTTTTGATCCTGCGGCGACCCTTGTGCCTGTTCGTGCTGAAACTGGTGAGGTTAAGACGGATGTGATGGATCAGCTTGTGGACCAGCTTGCTAGGATGGAGAATGACAGTTGAGGTGCTGGGCATATTAACTCTTTCGTTGGAAAGGACACTTTGACTCAGGTCACCGTGCTTTGTGATTCAAACACTCTTTAAGGTCTTGTAATCTATTTTTTTTTTCTAATTTCATTCGAGTATTGGATGCGACCACTCGGCCTCCAGAACTCACGGATCAGCATAACATTCACTTATCTCCAGCGTAATGGAAAGGTACATGCTGGTCTCCCCGGCTTGTATACTTTCTGCTTCCGCACTTGGACTTCCCCATCCCTTCCCCTGGTTCCGAGACACTAGCACTGTGATACCAGGGGGAAAATAACGATCCACCAAGATTCTCAAGCTTGTCACTGGCTACAGTTTCCAACTGCTTCACAGCATTGGCGACCTCCCCTCCCTACTCTAAATTTTGTGAGTATCTCCAGTCTTTCGAGAACGTGATCCAAATTTCTGACGAGCCGCTTGAGACTATATTTTGAAGTAACCTCAGACTGCATATACTTCTTTGCGCCTTCCGACATGGGGGTCTATGTGCTTCTCATCATTTCTACCCCTGCTGATCTGCGATAGAAGCGAACGATATGACCGACATCTGTTCAAGTGCGATTCAGAGGAGGATACAAGCTATGTATTAGGGATGCATAATTCGCGGCACTCTACAATCATGCTAATACACCGATCTATATGGCAATCTCCAGACAAATGGGGGTACTAGTTGGTCATAACACAAGTCGCAGTCAACAATCGAAGATGCTGTCAGAACTACCATTGACGGGTGTTTTACTTCTTCGCGGACGAACCACAGCATAGATAGCGGGGGAGAACCTGGTCAAAATCATATCACGTAGTCTCGCATCTTCAATGGCATCGATCGAGGCTATATTCTCTCAAGCACTGATTAGTGCGAAGAGCGGCAAGATGTAAATGGTGAGAGATGTTACTGTCCATGCAGGTGTTGGGCCTCTCAATGAACATATGTTATTTGGCGGGGCTGCAGCTCACTCCCATGCTGCGTGGGAGCAAAAGGATGTCATACGCCGTTTTTTGGTCGTCGCAATAAATGTAGTCGAGGCACTCCACCATCCAGTCCAGATCTTCTGGAAAGGGGGAGTCCTCTTTCCACCAGACACAGCGGTGAACCCACACCTGAGCAGGGCCACGAGATACCTTGGTAGAAGTCGGAAGGGAAATGGGTTCGTGCTTGCTCTGGAGCTTTTCCATATAACAGGTTTGAGCCAAACTGAGCAAACCGATATTCGCAGGCCCTCGAGCTGTTTTCATTATGCGACGGATAAACCCCATGGAGACGATTGCACCAATTTGCCAAGAGACCTTGCGTGGCAGTCTGCTGGCATATACATAAAAGCAAAGTGTTTTCCTACTAACCCTTCAGACACATTTGATCTCATATCACATTCTCACTCACAATGCGTTTCTCTTCTGTAATTTTCCTCGCCGTTGTTGTTGCTTCAGCATCATCAATATCTGCCACGCCCATTGACTCAGCCGTGCCCATTGAAGCTGGCACCGATGTATGTAAGACCTGGTGCATACGTGATAGCCAATGCACCACCTGCCCTAAACAATTCTGCGTGAGTTTCAGTGTTTGTATCTTGGATTTGACCATATGACTAAACGACGCGGCAGGCCTTTCCTTGGTGCGGAGTGAGTCGTGTTTCTGCTTTCAGGATCGGTGCAGTATGGTTCATGGTACTGACATGTGCGTTACTAGATGGCCTAAAGTGGTAAAACCCGCTGCATCCATCGCCGCGCGCCGTTCCACAGCACGGCCGCTTTATTTATCCAAAAATATATACAGAACCCTCCAGCAGAATAAGCCAATAGAACTAATTCACGACATTCCAACTGACAAGAATCCTGGAAACGGAAGCAATAAGTACCAGTAACATAGTCATTCGCCCCCACAACAAACCTAAGGCCTAAGGCATAACCAGAAATCTCTCATAAGCCCAGCCTGAACATCGCCCGAAAAACGCCAAACGGAAAACACAACCATCTCACCAACCCGACGCATATTGACGTCGCACTTCCGGACAAACTGATAAGTTTGAGCCCATCCAACACTAAGCACATATTTGACTTCCCAGAGCTATAAAACAAATACTACGCCCTACGCCAATATTTTCATCACCCGCCGCCCCTTGAAAACGTCCCAACAGGCCTCTGAATCGGCGCAATACCAGGCGAAGGCTTCAATGGTGGAAACGAAGACCTAAACCCACGCGCTGGTTCAAAAGGTGGTGCCTTGCTCGACAGCGTCGAAGTCCCAGACGCAGAACTAGTAGGAAGCATATTGCCACCATGCGACACTGTAGAACTCGCTGAATTGGATAATATTGATACCTTCGGATGCGACAGCGACGAACTTGTAGAATGCGAAAGCCAAGAGCTGGACGAATGACAGCTCGCATACGGGTTAGCGAGTCCCAGTCCAGGAGGCGCGCCATCCCCGATTCGATATGCTGAAGTCCGTGGTTGATGTCTCCGATACTGAGGAGGAGACACAGGTGATTGCATCTGCATTGATCTCCCAATCGTCGCATTATATGCCGCAGCCGTGTCAGCCTCCGCTTCAGCATCCTGTATCTCCCTCTCAACCTCCTTAAGCGTCTTCTCCAAATCAATCAACACCGTCCCCTCCAACTTCTCCTGCCTCGCATAAAGCCTCTCCAACCTATGCTCGACGCTCCCAATCTCGTTCTTAACACCCTCCATGCGTCTTCTCCTTACTTCCTCCTTCCCCTCGCGTTCCTTACGCACTTGAGCAGCCTCCTTGTTAAGAACGTCATATCCCTCCTCTTTCTCGCGCACTTGTTTCCTCAAAGAAGGATTAGAGCCTTCAAGTTCACTTCTACCCCTCTCAGCATCCTCTTTCCCCTCATTAGCCCTCTTAACAGCATCCTCAAGCGCCCTGATGCGCTGCCTCGCCTTACTCTCGGCAGCACTTGCTTTTTCAGAAGCCCGATTGAGAGCTTCGATCTCATTTTTGAGTACTGCGTCTGCTTTTTGACTGTCCCTGCGCGTGGATTTGAGGGTGCCAGTTAGCTCGAAGATGTGTGTCTGAAGGGATGCAAGGGTGGATTGTAGTTTTGGGAGACGGTCTTCTTGGGTGGGCGTTGTGGAGCGAGATGTGGAGCGCGGTTGGGAATGGGTGAGAGGGGCTGAGTCGGTTGTTACAGTTGACATTGATAGGCTTTGGGATGATGATGACGCGGAGGATGATGAGGATGAGGGCGGGAGGAGAAAACTAGTACTTGTTCCTTCATCCAACCTTCCATTCTCAATCGCACCTTCCGCATCTGCGCACAAAACCAAATCAGACTCATAAGTCACCGCATCATCACTAATCAGATCAAAGCACACACCTTCAGTGACAACTTGCCTCCTAATAGAACTTGCCAATCCACCCTGTACAAGTCCCAGATCGATATCATACTGACGTCCAGGCATGAGCCCGTATATGATGATAACAGCCTCGTCTACGGGCTCGAGGAGGCGTATGAGGACGCGCTGCCATGGGGAACCGTTGACAGATACTGAGAGGCCTGCTGAGAGTGCTTCGGAGATGATTCCTCGGACGGTGTCTCCTACGGCGTCCCCTTCTGTTTCTCCTCCAAGTTCCCCGTCGACTCCTACCTCTAGTTCTGTTTCTAGTTCTTGTTCTATCTCTGGATTGGTGTCTGGGCTTGCATTCGCGTTTGTGGTTGCGGGTATCGAGGATTCGTGATCTATGTTCGAAACAGGTTCAGATGGTGGAGAGAGAGTTGAAGAGAGAATAAAAGTCGCTGAAACAGACGTGATTTCACGGACTGAGAGAATGAGGTGAGGCGTCCAAGGACGGATGGAATACCATGAACTTGTGTTTGATGGTTGGTCTGTGTTGTGCATCGCCATCTTCAGTTCATTCGTTAGTTTGTCGTTCTTAGTGTTGAGCTGATCGTCGTTGGCAGTGAGCTGATCGTCGACGCGCGTTGGGTCGAGGATAACTACGTGATGAAGGTTTTACATAACACTTAGTAACTGACTCCCTTGTTGTCACTGGTTTATGTAAATTACAATTTTCACTGATTCGTCTTGAGTGCCTTTTGACCCGAGTCAATGAAATTGCCTGGAGATATGGTATTATTCTCATAGGCAGACCTTCAAGGCGTCAGACATCATAACGGTCACCTCATCAACAACAATAGTCTCAATATCTAGATCATCTAAGGGGCGGTTTGTACTACCTTGGACATGGTATTACTGTCATAGGCAGAACTCAAACACATTTGTCCTTAGATTTGACTAACGTCAACAGTAGACCTACGAATGCTACTCACATGCTAGACTGCTACACAAAAAATACCGGATCCTGCACTTGACGACTCTATCACCGTGATAGCGCCAGTCTGAATCCGGTGAATGCCTTTCACCAGTGCACTGGTAAAACAGGCGCTCGAAGGAGATGTTTAGGACAAACCGGGCCCTCTAGCTCAATACCCAGGACCCGCGATCAATTTTATCACCGATGACTGATAGCTCGTACATGTTCGGGATTCTGGGATTCACTCGGGCTAGATGGCGGCATTGTAGTATATTGCTGCGTGAGCGCTTAATTTCAAACGTTTTTTGTCTGCTGAAGTTCCGTTTGCGCTAGCACCAATGCTACTGTTTTTAGCCAGTTCTCACCTTACTGCGCCTCATCCTTTGATAGCATTATAGATTATATGGCGTTAAATATTTTTTTTTCAATTCTGCTGGAACTGACATGACTACAGTTGCTTTCGAGTCGGCAAGTTGCGGCAACACTTCTCTGGTACTCTGCAGGGAACATATCCATTTGTGTTTGTCCGAATGGTTTTTGAAATTGGTTGCAGCTTCCCAATTTGATTACTCATTGAGTTCCTACAGTCATGCATGTACAGTGCACAGCATCTATAAAGAAGAGCGGCCCACCTATCTTCTTTCTGCTCCAAATACTATGCCTAGAGTAGATTATCATATCATCTACATTCGGTGCCGTCGGCCTCCAAAGCTTATCAGATATGTGCGTGGTGTTCAATGTCTGATATACGCGATCACCGCGCGCGACTACCATCATCTATGTGCCTTCATTATGATTCCCTGAGCTTGCGAGCCAAGGGCTGAGCCCTCACATATACATACCTAGGTACATCTTGTCATCTGCTGCAAACCTATGGTCACTTACCATACAGGATCATTCACCACACACTGAGATGTAAAGTTTTGAGCGGCCGGGCGGACTGGATCATCGTGAAGGATCTCAGCAGCACGGCAGACTTGCATCCGACCAGCTTGAGACGCGTACCACAGGCTACGAGTCAACCACTATATAAAGATGCATTCCAACTCTGCATCAGAACGTAACAATGTCTCGTCCTAAAACAGATCTCCTGGACTCCTTGCCCACTGAACTATCTCAGCAGTTGAAGGATCGCGTAGATCGGGCTTTGCTCGAGTTTATACGGCCGAATTCCGCCTCTCAGCTTGCGCAGGAAGCTCCTGAGTTGATCAAATTCCGTGAGGCCATCGCGCAGAACGATTCGATGGATGATAGGGAACTCCTACGCATCTTTCGAGAATTTATTCCCACCACAAACTATGAAGCTTACAAGCCATTCATAGCAAAGTTTTTTGCGAGCCCTTGCAAGGAGGCTGATGTCAAGAACATGTTCGCCCCAGGACTTCCCTACTTTCTCGCCATGTCTAGCATGACATCTGGCAAATCAGTGAAGACATTCCCAAAGTATCGGCCTCCCTCGCACCTGCTGCAACACCCTCTTTATCTGGCGCTTCCCCCGTCGGAGGGAACTACCTTATCACCAGCTTCCATGAGATATTCGCAAATCTTAACAATAGATTGCGAAGACGGTCAATCCAAGCAGGTGACAGTCTGCTCGTTGAGCATCGGTTTTCTGCGAATGGCAATGAACTGGGACGTCGAGCATGACAACGAGAGGCTCGACTTATGGTGTAAGCCCTTCGCGCCACTGTCGCTCGTGAACACTGATTTCCAGCCAATTTTCAGTGCCGGGACAAACAGATCCATACGCCATTTCCTTGGTTAAGAGCTATCGGGCATTCTTCGTTTTGAATGCTCTGTTTGCACTGGCAGACCGTCGGGTGACGACCATCCGCTTTTTCTTCGCCAACGTATTCGTTACTTTTTTGCAGTACATAGAGGATGAGTGGTCTCTGCTCATCGACTGCATCGAGAAGGGCATCATCCCGGATGTGGACAACCTAGGCCATTTGCGAGCACCTTTGGAGGTCAAATTATCTTGTTCGTTACATTCCGCTCGGCTGACAAGGTCTCTCAGAAACTGTTTAAGCCAAATCCTGATCGTGCTGCCGAACTTCGGGAAATCGGACCTCCTGGCATCCAGGGTTGGGCAATCCGTGTGTGGCCTGACTTGACAAGGTTTATTGGGATCACCGGAGGGCCTGCTGCTGCCTCCGTCCCCAAGGCATGTCAAGTGTTGAAGGTTTACTACTCAACTGACAATTATTGATACTAGATTACTCATGCCCTCGGACCTTCTGTCTTCGCCCAGTCTCCTGGTTATGGTAGCTCAGAGGGCGGCGTCGCCATAACATACCACAAAGGCGATCCTAACACTGACTACAAGGTGGTATTGGTGGATGTGGTCACCGAATTTCTGGATGTGCATTCCAACGAACCCTCAGAGCATGTACTGTCCATTGTAAGAACCACTCACCACGTCTCACCTTTGTCTGTACTCATCCCTGACATAGCATGAACTCGTAGCTGGAGGACATTACGAGCCCATCTTGACGACTCGCAATGGCTTGTGGAGATATCGCATGGGTGATGTCGTCACCGTTAAAGGCTTCGCTCCAGATGACGGATTGCCCGTGATCAGTTACCTTCACAGGCGAGAGTGAGTTTACCGCGTCATCGGTTTCAGGAGCTGAGCTAACTTCGGCCCGGCTTGGAAGAGGTGGAATTTTGATGGCATTCGGAACGACGTGCACTGAGTCCCAATTGACGACCGCGATCGTCTCTGCGGCTAATCGATGGATAGGCCAAATCATAGATTTCACCATTGTAGGCGACGACCGAGACACTCCTATCACCTATGGGTATTTGGTAGAAATTGGAGGGGAGATAGGTTCGTGCTTGCCTTGGGACTCTTTTACACGATGGGACTGAGGATTGTTGCTGGCAGGAAAGGACGCGAGAATGGCGATACAACAAACGTTTGAAGACCTCATGGCAGCAAACGACGAGTTTCGGACCGCCTTCTGGCAAGGTCGAGCAAGAAAGCCGACCATTCGTCTCTTGGAGAAAGGCACCTTTACAGAATATCGCAGGCAGAAATGCGACAAAACAAACATATCTATATCGCAAGTGAAGGTTCCTGTCGTCTTATCCGACCAAAAGTTTAGGGAATGGTTCCTGGAAAGAGTAAGGATTGAGCTGTAAGGGATCCCAAACTTTGATCACCAGACCCGATCATCTAGAGGGTGTAAATAAATGTATGTGAAGACTGAAATCGTAGCACTCACTGCATAGATATATTGCAGACTTAAAAATTTTATGGCTCAGGCTCTTTTTACCCGATTTCTCCTAGCTACCCAAATACCACAGTCGCTCACCCTGTTCTGCTCCTCAGGAGACAAATATTCCCTGAAGCTGCATACCACACGAACTCAATGATAGCAAGGATGAAAAGAAAAAACTGAATGTTGTGGTTTGTCACCGTTTGTCCCACCCATCTATGATTTGAATTTGCACGCAGGATGCACTCCTGATCGAACTCAGATACCCTTCGTGTACGGTCCTGACACGCCAGGGTTTGTCTCACCTGCCTTCAAGTTTTGAGGTGTCTAATACTCGGTGAAGCTTTTGTAAGTAGGTCGAACTGCCGCAGGTGCATAACCGTTACAACCAAAAGGTAGAATACTGAAGCAGAATGCATCACTTTCACCTTCCGAGTTCACACTATTTTTGGAGAACCGAGGTGCCAAATATTGTTTATCGGAATCATGCACTGCAATGTAGTCACGGCCCGGAGGCAGAGACCACAAACTCCTTTGATACCGTCCCGATGAGTTTGATGTCCTGAGGTCTTTCCTAAGTTCGCCCGAAGTTTTCCGCCTGGAAAACGACTATATAGTTCCTCCTATTGTGGTATGATGGGTAGCTCCCGATATTATGTACGGGATCTATGTCAAGCCCGGAATCTCGCATATTAGTGTTGCTGTGCGTTTTGATTCTCACCGTATCTAGATCAGGCATCATATCGTTATCATACCAGGATCCGACGGAATACGGAACACCGAACATAGATCCGGAAGAACGTGGTCGCAAGTTGTCGGTAAAGGTGAACATTCCACATCCGTGACCCGATGACCGACCGCTACTATAAAACAACACTACTCATCAACAACGAAAAAATTACCTACAGGCTAAAGTCCACAACACTGTGATATAGAACAGTCATGAGATGACTGTTCTGTATCTCAGTGCACGTGGTTGCCTCTTCTGTTTATTTACCGGCCGGACCGACCCAAACCAGTCGAGCCATAGTCTTTGTGAGTGAGAACACTGCTCCGGTACTGACATCTTAGTCTCTTCCAGGGGTTCCCTTTCCGTATCTCTAGAATTTTGTTGAAGTAGCTGTATCATTGAAAGTAGCTCGTGTTAATGCCGAGACATCCAATAGAACGACTGAACAGTGAATGGGCTCAATACACGAACGTAATCATGTGTGCGAGGAACGGACAAATTTAGACCAGACTCTGTTATAGCTCAATTACAACTTGTTGTAGGAGCCATTCCCTAAATGTAGGGTCGGATAGGACGACAGGAACCTTCACCTGCGATATCGAGACGTTCGTCTTGTTACACTTCTGTTGGCGATATTCTGCAAAGGTGGCTTTTTCTAAGAGACGAATGGTCGGCTTTCTTGCTCGGCCTTGCCAGAAAGCGGTCCGAAACTCGTCGTTTGCCGCCATGAGGTCTTCAAAAGTTTGCTGTATCGCCATTCTCGCGTCCTTTCCTGCAAGCAACAATGCTCGGTCCCATCGTGTAAAAGAGTCCCAAGGCAAGCACGAACCTATTTCCCCTCCAATTTCTACCAAATACCCATAGGTGATAGGAGTGTCTCGGTCGTCGCCTACAATGGTGAAATCTATGATTTGGCCGATCCACCGATTAGCGGCAGAGACGATCGCGGTCGTCAATTGGGACTCGGTGCACGTTGTTCCGAATGCCATCGCAATTCCACCTCTTCCAAGCCGGGCCGAAGTTAGCTCAGCTCCTGAAATAGATAACGCGGCAACTCACTCTCGCCTGTGAAGGTAACTGATAACGGGCAATCCGTCATCTGGAGCAAAGCCTTTAACGGTGACGACATCGCCAATGCGATATCTCCACAAGCCATTGCGAGTCGTCAAGACGGGCTCGTAATGCCCTCCAGTCACGAGTTCATGCTACGACAGGGATGAGTATAGGCAAAGGTGAGACGCGGTGAATGGTTCTTACAATAGACAGTACACGCTCCGAAGGTTCGTTGGAATGCACGTCCAGAAACTCGGTCAACACATCCACAAACATTAGCTTGTAGTCAGTGTTAGGATTGCCTTTGTGGTATGGTAGGGCCATGCTACCCTCTGAGCTGCCATAACCAGTAGCCTGCGTGGGGATGGAAGGTCCGAGGACGTGAGTAAGCTTGTGTGCGGTTAGCTGTCCGATGGGCTATAAACCTTCAACACTCGACATGCCTTGGAAACGGCTGTAGCAGCCGGACCTCCAGTAATCCCGAGGAACCTTTCCAAGTGAGGCCACACGCGGACTGCCCAACCCTGGATACCAGGAGGTCCGATTTCCCGAAGTTCGGCAGCACGATCAGGATTTGGCTTAAACAGTTTCTGAGAGACCTTGTCAGCCGAGTGGAATGTAACAAATAAGAAAAACACAACCTCCAAAGGTGCTCGCAGATGGCCTAGGTTTTCCACATCCGGGATGATGCCCTTCTCGATGCAGTCGATGAGTAGAGACCACTCATCCTCTATATACTGCAAAAAGATGACGAATACGTTGGCGAAGAAGAAGCGGATGGTCGTCACCCGACGGTCTGCCAGTGCAAACAGAGCATTCAAAACGAAGAATGCCCGATAGCTCTTAACCAAGGAAATGGCGTATGGATCTGTTTGTCCCGATACTGAAAGTTGGATGGTAATCAGCATACACGGGGGACAGTGGCGCAAAGGGCTTACGCCATAAGTCGAGCCTCTCGTTGTCTTGCTCGGCGTCCCAGTTCATTGCCATTCGCAAAAAACCGATGCTCAACGAGCAGACTGTCACCTGCTTGGATTGACCGTCTTCGCAATCTATTGTTAAGATTTGCGAATATCTCATGGAAGCTGGTGATAAGGTAGTTCCCTCTGATGGGGGAAGCGCCAGGTAAAGAGGGTGTTGCAACAGGTGCGGGGGAGGCCGATACCTTGGAAATGTCTTTACTGATTTGCCAGATGTCATACTGGACATAGCAAAGAAGTAGGGAAGTCCTGGGGCGAACATGTTCTTGACGTCAGCCTCCTTGCAAGGGGTCGTAAAAAACTTTGCTATGAATGGCTTGTAAGCTTCATAGTTTGTGGTGGGAATAAATTCTCGAAAGATGCGTAGGAGTTCCCTATCATCCATCGAATCGTTCTGCACGATGGCCTCATGGAATTTGGTCAACTCGGGAGCATGCTGCACAAACTGAGACGCAAGGTTTGGCCGTATCATCTCGAGCAAGGCTTGATCTTCATAATCCTTCAGCTGCTGAGAGAGTTCAGCGGTCAACGATTCTAGTAGATCTGTGTCAGAACGAAACATTGCTGCGATATGATGTGGATTTGGAATCTGGCTTGATGGCTTGATGAATAGCTCGAGGGAATGCCTTGCGACAACTTTGGACCGGTCGGGTACGAGCTTCACGTGACGCCAGTGGTGCTGACATCCTCCACGAGCAATTCCTGCGCGGCAGCTCGTGACTTTTACAGTTTAGTTCGTGCTTCTACGTGGCAAGTAGTGATCCTATAATAGGTTTGTAGCGGATAACGGAGTGTACCTGAGTGTTGCACATGAATGCATGAAGGGTTTAGCCCTGAGCTCGCAAGCTCAGTGGACGATATGATGAGTGCACGTACATTGATGACAGGTGCGCGCGACGATCGCAGCATACAAATGATGATGTACTAATCATGCTTCAATGAGTGGCGGAGCGCGGCAACCAGGAACATCGGAAAGCGATCATTGTGTACTTATCTAAGAACCTTTGCCTTTGCAGGCCGTGTCAATGACACCAGATTAGTGATGATCTTCTCTATGCATATAAGTAGAAGGAAGACTCTGACAAGGCGGCCCTTCTTTATAGATGCCGTTACGGCGCTCGATGAGCAATCCAATCTGGAAAGTTGAAACCGGTCATACGGACCATTCGCGCAGCCAGAGCGCCAGGATACGATATGTAAGGGACTTCGTTCGTCACGAGAGCATCCGGATCATTTCAGCTTCAACCGGACTGTCTCAGAAGTGTTGCTGGAACGTTTTCCTTGGGAGAGCGGAGGCGGGGAGTGTTCGGTTTCAGCTATGATACGACATTGATTTGTTTTCTCCCTGGAAACTATTTCGGATACCAAAAATCGATATTGCCAGAGTACTCGAGAAGTGTTCATCCTTGTCTCCCTTCTTGCACCAACGTTGGACAAAAGCTTAGAAGCGTGGTCCGCAGCCACTGATACAAACTGTTATTTGCACAAGCGACGAACAGTCAACTAGTCACGGTGCACCGGTGAGGTATGTGCTGGCCAGAAGCAACAGCACCATTGACGCATGAGGAACTTCAGGAAACATAAAAACGTTCAAATTAAGCACTCACACCTGACTTGCGCCGCGTGCAAAGCAGAATACGGAAACAAGTATGATGGCAGCTAGAGTCTTTTGGTCGTTAAGCTTACATAAGTAGCGTGTTAATCAGCAAACAATTGAAATCGTTCGTTGAACATTAACTTGATTGATGATCGCTTCACGGAGTACTGGACCAATTCTCTAGCTCCGCCAGTCTCTGGCAATACAGTTTGGATGAGATCCGAGGTTTTTGTGTTGCATATTGCTAAGTATAAACTCCCTGTACCATTCCAGGCACAGCTTGTTTACAGCCTGAAATTCGAAACTTTGGCTCAGTGCGCCACTCCGAGTCCACTGGTGGGAAGATGGCGTGGGCGACTTCTGCGCTAATCGGATGTTCACCTCCGTCTTGTGATACGTATCCCAGCTCATCCCGTTACATTTCAATCTCAATCGCTGGTCCAGGGTTGCGCGCACAAGTTCGTCGTTCGCGTTGCCAACAACCTGACCGCCTATTTCGTTTTATTTGAAACAACAGCATCCCCGGGTTATGTGCTCAAGCATCCTTTCACACCTTTGTATTATCCGCGTATATCTCATCTCCGCCGACACGTGTGTCTAACCTTCTCGATAATTATTCAGTGTTTAACACGGCATTCTTGAAGAAATATCCAGGGTCATGATGTTTGCGCTGGTGTTGCTTCATCAGGTAATCGTTTATGGCCGAACTTGGCCATCAGAGGCATCGTGAAGCTACCACAAGGTCGAATGATGTCTTACGAAGGTTGTGGGAAAAGATATTTGTATATGACTGTCTGTTTGCATGGCCGGACACGTTGCATTGACAAAATGGATAACCTCAGAAATGGAAGAAGCTATCTGCGCAATGTTCAGATTGGACCGCAATGCGCATTTTTGCATCGCCTATCCCCATCAGTTACTGACCCCGTCTGGCTTCATCGTGGATGAATGGTTCATGAGGGCCTGGACCCTCCAGAAGCTTCTCGCTCCACACACGAACGATGAAGTCCTATCATAGAAAGGTGTAACTCACCGGCCAATTAGAGAAATAACGAGCACGATGTTGAACTCGATGACCGCATCTCGCTGATTACGAAGATTCCCTCTGATGATCTGCAGAGTTTCACGCCCATATCTTCCCGCATGCATGAAAAGATGGTGCAGGCATCGACTCGAGGACGAGGGGTGATGAGAATGCTCTTGTCCTCATCGGTGTTTGACCTGCGCATCATAATTATTGACTACAGCGAAGGGAAGTGGGTATTCGTCAATGGAGGCGATGCCGCTGGTGAGTGGAATTTCCTTGCATAGGCAGGACCGTTGATGACATTTCCACCCAACAGTATCCTGGATCCCCCTCTGTGCTACATTGCATATGATCTGTCTGATACATGGAGTTAGAGGCTGATGAGTCAGAATCTTAGCTGATCACGAGCCAATTATGTATGTAACGTCATGCCATCATCGGATATTGATATACTAACTTGAATTTAAGCGACAAGATCTGTTGGCTAGCGACGTGTCAGCACCCTCTTGCGTTAATCACGCATGACATGAGCGGTGCTTCGAAACATCAAGAAACACAAAGTTTTCGTATTGGTGATATCGTGCCAGCAGGATCTTCAAGTTGTCTGACCTAATGCGTTAATAACGAATCGCATGTTGCCAAAGTACAGTCGCGGTCCCGTACCAATCCGAGTGATAAATATATAAGATGTTCCTCCGGTTTTGAGGTTCAACCCGGACGCTTCACTTGGCATTCCTTCTTCTGCTAATAGCCGACCATGTCGACACTCACCGTTCTTACTTTGCAGTACCTCTGTCTTGCTAGCGTCGGAGTGTACCTGATGAAGCAGGTATTCGCCAAGAAGAATCGTGCACCATATCCCCCTGGTCCTCGGGGCCTGCCTCTCATTGGGAACTTTCGAGACATGCCTCATGTCAAGCCCTGGCTCACCTTCGCTGAATGGGGCAAGAAGTATGGTAAAAGCATTCCATTTTTCCAAAATCATGCATTTTAACGTCTTTGTGCGCAGGTGATATTTCGCATATCAGTATTCTGGGTATGCACATCGTAGTGCTGAACTCTGTCAAAAGTGCGGAGGAAATGCTGGACAAGAAGAGCTCTATATACTCTGACCGTATGGTCGTTCCTATGAGTGGCGAACTGATGGGCTATTCGCAAACTATGGGTTATCTCCGTTACGGCGAACGCTTTCGCTCGTTCCGCAAGAATTGCCACCACATCTTTGGCAATCGCGCTGCCTTGGTTGACTACCACCCCATCGAGGAGATGGAGGCCCACCGATTCCTGAAGCGTGTACTAGCGAAACCCGACCAACTGCAAGCACACATTCGACAGTATGTATTTTGTAGTACTACTGTTGGCTTGATCCTGATTTTTTATAGCACCGCTGGCGCTGTCATTCTGCGCCTTTGTTATGGTTATGAAGCCAAGGAGCAAGATGATCCTCTCGTTGGCATGGCAAAACGCGCTTTAGAGCAATTTTGTCGGTACGGCCCCTTTGGTGAATTTATGGTCGACTTCCTGCCATTCTGTAAGAACATAGCATTTCGACGTTCTCTCAATAGCCTGACTATATTCTAGTGGCAAAGGTCCCGGAGTGGTTCCCTGGTGCTGGCTTCAAACGCCTAGCCCGTGAGTGCCGTGAGACCACCGAAGAGGCGGCTGCCACACCCTACATTTTTGCAAAAGATCAGATAGTAACTAAGGTTTTTAGTTTTCCCGCTACGCCCTATTGATCGAAATCTACAGGCTGCTGGCATTGCCCCGAAATCTTTTGTCTCAGATCTGTTAAAGGACCGTACTGTGACTGCGGAAGAGGATTACGTTGTGAAGTGGTCTGCTGGATCTCTATTCAGCGGTGGTTCCGACACGGTTCGTGCGGTTGAAACTATCATGTTTTTAAGCTAACGCTTGTTTTCTCAGAGTGTTTCTGCGAACTACTCTTTTTTTCTGGCTATGACACTTTTCCCTGATGTGCAGAAGAAGGCTCAGGCTGAAATTGATGCCGTCATTGGTCCTAATCGTCTTCCCTCCTTCGCTGATCGCGCCTTCCTCCCCTACGTCGAGGCGCTTACCAAGGAGATTCTCCGCTGGAATGCCGTCGTACCTATTGGTATGTGTCTCTCGTTTATCGCAATCTGACTTGACCCACCGTGCGCGATGTCAGTTGAACACAGCGTCACTGAGGACGACATCCACGATGGGTATTACATTCCAAAAGGTTCTTTGATACTCCCTAATATATGGTTTGTACTTTCCTCATTGTGTATCCACTATATTAACGCTTTGAATTGTGACAGGTTCATGCTCAATGATCCGCAGACATATTCCAACCCCTCGGAATTCAATCCTGAGCGCTTTTCTTCCAAAGATGGAAATGAGCCTGAGGCAGATCCTCGCAGGGCATGCTTCGGTTTTGGTAGACGGTAAGGATTAAGTCGCTGTTATATTTTTGAGTGAAATGCTAAGGTTCTGTTCCACAGGCTCTGCCCAGGTATGCGCAACTGACAGAGGAGGGTGACCAACGAGACAGTTTTCTGACCTTGGTTGGACAGGTCTGCATCTCGCTGATGCATCCATCTGGATATGCGCCGCGATGTCACTTGCGGTGTTTGACGTTTCCAAGGTTGTCGAGAATGGCGTTGAAATCACCCCTGAAATCGACCCCTCATCCGGGTCGATCAGGTATGTCGCGTATCTTAATATGACCACGGTGCTCTGAACATACGTACTTGCAGCCACCCCAAGCCCTTCAAGTGCTCGATCAAGGCTCGCTCTGAAAAAGCCTTGGCGCTCATTCAAGAAGATACTTCCTAAGTATTGCTAACCAGCGGTCAAACCAAATAGTTGATGTGTTGCGTAATCTAGTAGTCAAGTAAACCGCTATGTACCACTTCGGCGCGAGCCGAGGTAGTGCGAAAGTTATATAAAACACATAGCAACACAGTGCTGATTACAGCCTTGCCACACAAGTAATAAATTTAACCTACATAGGGTCAGGCCATACTGTAAGCGTTTTTTCTCACTGTTAGTGACTAGTGAGCTCGTATGAGAAAACCACAGATTTAAACAACGCCAAAACCATGTGCGAAACACATGGCTCTTAGATGCGCAAACCACAAGAGCTTGCGAGACCCTGCTCCCGGGTCTTCCCTTGCTTTATAGATGAAACAAATTTCTCGAGGTTTACATGGTCATATTTAGCGGGAGCACCGTCTCAGGCCACAGCTACATTAATGCCAAGAACTCATAGGTTCACTGATGGGCCGTGTCCCAGGCGTCTATGAAAATAAGGCACAATACAAGCATCTCAAAAATGCCCTTGATCCCTCCAAAGTCCACCTCGACCGCGCCCAACCCCATCAACCTCCGGCAAAATGTCGAAGCTCATTGAAATCACTACACCTCTGCGAAAGTTTAAAGGCCATGGAGATGGCATAAGGGCAGTCGCGGTGTTCCCCGATGGACAACGGATGGTTACGGGATCGTACGATAAGACGCTTCGTTTGTGGGACTTGAAGACAGGTGTTGTGTTGAAGAAGATGAAGGGGCATCACAGTGAGGTGTGGGGATTGGCAGTATCACGAGATGGGCGATTGATAGCAAGCGGTGATTTTAACGGAGAGGTCATTGTCTGGCACGGAGAAACTGGCGAGTCACTCACCCAAATGATCGAAGCCCACTCCGATTGGATCTCCTCGCTAGATTTTTCTCCTGGTGGATCAGCGCTGGCCACTGGTTCATGTGACGGGATGATGAAGCTGTGGAACATCAAAACCTGGCAGTTGCAAGGAAATAATAATAGTGAAGTCCGTTGCGTACGGTATTCGCCGTCCGGAGAACTTCTTGCCATCGCAGCAAAAGACATTATCCACATTTATAATCCAGGCACGAGAGAACGTATTGCATCCTTCAAGGCTCACACAAAATCCAACTTGTCACTTGCATGGACACCCGATGGCACACGCCTTCTCACAGGTGGCGGTATTTCTGATCCTACCATACGCGAATGGGATACAACAACCTGGCAGCAAGTCGGTGATCCCTGGATGGGCCATTCTAGCCAAATCAATGCCATTGCTGTTGATCCTGCTGGCAAACTCGTCGCATCCGCATCTCATGACAATCATGTTCGTCTCTGGCAGCTCTCTGATCGACGAACCGTTGCTACCTTCAAGCACGCATCCTTCACGAGTTGCATCACTTTCTCGGTGGACGGTAGCCACATCCTCAGTGGAGGTGGCGATTGGATGGTCTCGGAGTGGGCAGTACCTCAGGGTATTAATCCGAAGGCATGTTTCTGTCTTTGACTTATATACCGTAATTCGAGCATGTTTCGTACAGATCCTAGCCATCACAACAGCCCGTGATGCATGCATAGATGGGCACCTGTCTACCGCTGAAGAACTGCTCACGCAAGATATCAACACTGATGCCAACAACCATACTTCCTACGCCCATCGTTCATTCGTGATGGCTCGACAACACAACTGGGACCGCGCCCTTCAGGATGCAATCAAGGTGAGTTATATGCACTGATTATCCCCCCCTTACAAAAGGCTAACTCGACGGTGACATAGTCCATCAGCATCCAGCCCTCATTAACAGGCTACATCTCCAAGGGTATTGCCCTCTGCGGAGAAGGTCGCGTCCCGGATGCGAGGGCAGCATTTGATGTTGCATCAATGTACACGGACCAGGATTCACAAAACCTCCATTTCCTGCTCTTAATCAAAGTATGTTACATTTGCCTCCTCATACTTTCTGCTTCATCGTGTATTTCAGGCCATTGCCCTCTTCAATGCAGACCAACATGACGAAGCAAACCTGCTCCTCAAAGAACTCGCTGCTGGCTGTGCAAATGCCGACACTCTCGCATGTTGCGTCGTGCAAGTAAGTACCATCTGTAGGTCACCAACACCAATCTTTGCAACTCGACTCACATGTTAGGCATATATGCGTCTTCAACTCGGAATCAAGGCCTTGGATGGCGCACGTCACGAAGAAGCCGCTGACCATTTCACTGCCGTTCTCAACTCCAGCGCTCTTTCATGGAGTTCACCCATTCATTTTATGTACGAGGACTTGGTAGTGGTACGTGAATACAGATCCGACATTCTTTTCATAACTGAGTCCCTTGTCCAGCTCTTTGGCTGGGATCTCAAATCGTTGCGGCTTACTGCATACCAGAAACAGTGCCAGGCTTTCCTTTACGCAGGCAGAGTCGATGAAGCACTCG